AGAGCCGAGAGCACCGGACAGAGCCGGGGAGGAGATTGACCGGTCGGCAACGCGCCCCGCCCCCGTCGGCGCCGACCTGACGCCGTGTGCGTCGATCCGCGGCGGCCGGAGAGGGCCCATCGCCCGCACGTGACCTGCATAGGGATCACGGCCGCGGGCCATCAGAGGTTTAGAGGATCACGAAGTTGGCGGTAAACGCGACCGTGAGGATATTCTCCATACCACAGAATAAACACGAAAATCCGAACAGCATCGGAAAGCATGCCCCCGACATAAAAGCTGAAGCTATGTAACAGTTTGTGTCTAGAGCACTTTCCGCTGGCGGCACAGGCCCTACCACCGACCGGCACACTGCCAGCACGGCCGTCCATATACAACGCGAACCTGAGACACCGTCTGTCAACAGTCCGTGATCTAACAACGGGCGACGATTGAAGCTCCGATAGGCGGCAGTGGGTGGTGATGGTCTGCGGCGGACGCGACGGCGGAGAAAAGGGGGCCGGGTGGGGCGACTGAGGGTGGTATGGGAGGGGACAGGGGGCGGTAGGGGGCAGCAGACGACGGTAGGTACTCACTGGGCCCGGGTGGGGCGGCGGAGGGCAGTGCCGGCCGCGCCCCGCCGCCCAGCAGGCGCGCCATGGCCGGGCTGGCCATCACGGCTCCCTCGTCTCCTCCTCACGCACACACTATTCGCTGCGGCCGCGCAGGAGAGCCGGCGCGCCACTGCTGGCTGCGACCAGCGCTGAGAGAGACTGACTGCCGCAGCGCGCTGCCGCCCGGCCGGCCGTCGCACCGCGCCAGGACACGCTCCAGCGCGCCGCGGCCGCCGCTGTGGAGAGCGCGGCCGCACACCCCGCGATCACTCCGGGCAGCCGCCGAAGTCGCTGCTGCTTACATCGCGTCGCGATTCAGCCGGTCGCGGCTGAGTGGCGGCACTCGCAGTTCACCGGCGTGACATCGATCGACCTGAGGTGCCCCGCGGTTCACTGAGCTGAGTAACCGGTGAGCGGCGCCATCCGAGCTCACCACCGGCACTGTCCGTGTCGGACGATCCTCAAAACTCCAGAGCTCATTGATCTCCCTGCGGCAGAATTAACGTCCCCAGCCGACCTGGACCAGACACTGCGCTCTGAGACGCAGCTCCGTGGCGGGCTGCGGTCGCGGTGGGTAGAGCACACTCTCCCCATCAGACCGAGCTCGTTCGGCCCGGTCTCCGTCCCCCGCGGCCGACCGTTCGGCTGTCCGCTGCCGGTGACAAACCGTCCACACTCCATAGCGTCACCGTGGCAGCGCCGGCAGCCGCGGGACGCAATCACAGCCTAATGAACGGCCAGCCGCCCCCCGTGGGGCGCTGCATTGGGATCGGCGCCAGCGGCAAAAAAGAGATTGGAAATAAAGCCCGGATTGGCCGCCGGTGTTTCCAAATCGTCGCAGTACGGCCCGTGGAGGGGCGTGCATAGATGCGGATCAACTACTCCCTCCGTCCCACTCCGACGAGCGGTGAGTGAGGAGCGAGACATCAGCGTTGAGCATGCGGTGTACGACGCTATTTCATCAGTGTCCACACGCTGGTAGCAGCGCGGGTCACGCCTCTCACTGCACCCTTCGGTCACCAGAGAGTAAGCAAAGCCCGTGCTCACACCACCGTACCAATTCATTCTCGGTGCCTACCACAGACACACGGCGGGGCTGCAGCGACCCGACAGCGGCAGCGGGCTGGTGACTGCAAGACAAATAGGTACTACCCGTCGCTCGGTGATTCATTAGGCGCCCGCCGCCGCCACTCCGCGCCCCGCCGGAGTGGAGCAGCTGAGTGGATCCGAACAGCCAACCAGATCAAATAACAAACGGGGCGACAGGCCTGCGGTCAAAGCTGTTCGATCAACACCAGCCGCAGCGGAGCTTAGGGCTGATCATCACACAGCACAGGCAACGATGAAAAATGTGTCTCAGCAAAAGAGCGAGACAAAGGACATGGTTATCATAATAGCCAGAAGCTTTGGACAATCGAAATTAATAATGTACTCGTACTTTTTATGTTTGACCATCATAAGCATTCGTCGAATAAGCCTGGTAGTGATAAAGGCAGACGGGATAACAATACTGCAGCTAGGTGAATTTGAACGGCGCAGTTACTCATTTACCAGAAGCCCGAGCTCACCTATCCATCTCATGCATTACCGAAGGTGGCAGAGTCAGACCATCCACGGTCTCACCGACTCTTATCGTCTCACATGCGACTCGCCAGCAGGCAGCTCCACCATACTGCAGCCTCACAGGGCCACTAACAGGAAAATAAGCCGCCAGGATTAGTCCGACAAAGGACCGCAGTTGACGCCTCTCGGGAGCCGGCGATCGGACCGAGTCTGCCGCAGCAGCAACTGGCACGGTGACGGTGACGAGAGGAGGGCGTCAGGAAAGGGTGGGTGGGAGGGGGAGCCTTACAATGACGAGGCCACATCGCTTACCGGCCACCGCCCGCACTGTCGCGTCAGTCGGCAAGTCCATCAACCTACAGCACAGCGGAGAGACCGATGACACTGAGCCCTCACCTACGGTCCAAAAAAACCCGGGTGAGCCATAGGTAGGTAGGGCGCCCGGTGTCCCCCCCCCCCCCCGGCTGATGTCGGAGGCACTGAGAGGGTAATGTTCTCTGCTCAGTGTGCCCGACGGTCAAGTGCCAGAAGTCCACCCTACCAGGCCCGACAGCAGACGAAGTTTCACCGCGACTGGTCAACAGCTGACCGCGCCGGTAACAGCTCCACAGGCTAACAACGCTGGTCAATGACCGATATCACCACACACACAGAGCAGAGCAACGACGAGGTTTGACAACAATGAGAGCCTGTTTAGTTGGATGCAGTAGGTATCAATGGTAGGAAGCAAAAAGAAAAAGAAGAAAAAGGTGTTGATGCTCAACCATCTGCCGACTTGGCGCCGAAATTTGGACATCAATTCAAAACACACCCACGGACAAAACACTGTTTCTACAATCTGCCGCAAGTTCACCATTCCAAGGAGTTCTCTCCTGGTCTTAGCATGGGCCAACAAAGTACATCTCCTTGGTTGGAACAGGCTAACGAATGCAATCATACTGTCCAACTTGAGGCCGGACTGGGTGTCTGAACAGGCCACAAACTGTGACTACCGACAACTTCCGCCTGGAATCCGCCGATTCAGTCCCAACTTCCATCGCGGCGCAACTCGGACCGGCGGCGGGACGAACAGCGCTGGTCGAGATCGGCCAACTTCCTCGCGGTCCCTGGCCGCCGCCGCTGGGGGACCAGTTACGCCACACCGACCCCGCTTGGCACGTGTGTGCCGCGCGTCGGTCCACCGGGTGACTTGGACCCCAACCCGTCAGCAGCCGGCGGCAGCGGGCATAGGCCGACGCTAGTGAGTGGTGAGGGATCACTGGTCAACGATCAGGGGTCACTGGTCAGCGATCCGAGGTCACGTTCCTTCCGGCTAGATTAGGCGCCGCCCGAAGTTGAGCCACCGCTCCGAGAGTCGAGCGAGTCGCTCGGCCGTCCGCGGCCACGCCCAGACAGACGTCACGTCCCCGTCTCAGCGGACGGTCTCCAGCGCTCTGTCAGCACGTGGAGCGGCTGCGATCCGGGCACCGCCGGCCGGCGCTACAAAAACACACCGCACGCAGACACACACAGACACGAGCGGAGGGTCGGGACGTGAGTCACGCTCGGAGCCGGTGTACGACGAACCAGCGCGCGTACGGCACGCCACGACACCGTACGGTACGGGGGTACCGTAACGTGACATCGTACGGACCGGAGTGAACGGCACATGACGCCCCGACAGCGCGAGTTTGAAAGATACCTGGCCAGAATACATCAAATAGACAGGACGTATGTATAGGAGAGACGCAGATCACCGACCAATAGCATCTTCTGGAGAATAGTGTATCGCCACCTTATCACCCCGAGTAGCATGCTGTCAACGGCCATCAACAGCCAAGATTACTTTAATACGAGCAGCAGCCACTCGTCGGCCAGTGTATCGAGAATCAGCGGGGCGCGGCGAGCGAACCGCGAAATGACCTAACCGCCGCCCGGTCAGGCTAGGAGCCGTCACGCAGAAAAATAAACAATCGCAGCACAGAGAGACAGCGTCACCGACCACTGCCGGGAGCCGAGAGCGGAACCGTGACGGGCCGGACACCGGCGGCCGTCCGTCCAAAATCCTGCAGCCGCCTCGGCGAGCGGAGACGTAAACAGACGGACCAACTCACCCGGCCTCCGCTCAGTCAGAAACGAAAACAAATGGCACATGCCCCGCCTCAACGACGAGGAGTCTCAATACGGGTATCGATTTTCAGTGAGATAACATCCATCACCGTGTGCACTTTCCAGTGGGTGCATGAGAACATATTTCGATGGTCGGACGTTATTGTATATGAAAAGGTTTCAAAGTGCCAAGTGGATACATAAAATTGAGTGCATGCTAGAGTGTAGCATGCATTTCCAATGACACATTTGTCAGCAATGGCACACAAAATAAGACTTCCTGCTAAAATGATCACTGATCAGGGATGCTGACACTAGCGATGCATGTAAACCTTGTGTGCCATCTATGCTCAGGGAGAGAGATCACTTATATGGCTGCATGTGTTACATATGAAATAGGAAAAGAAATGAATGCACACTATGTTTTCTTTTTGGTAGGGATGGAATGCTTTTTAAGGCATTAGCCACTATACACGGAATAAAAGCCAGTCACATATGTAGTTGCAGAGTGGCACAAGAAAATATGAATGTCATGGTTCTAAATCTTATACAATTTTCATTACAATAAATGTACACCAGCAGCCAACACATAGCACAATGACCAGATTTTATCCACTGATTTGCAATTACAGGTGATAACTGATTGCATTGTGAGGAGTGAGGACACACTTGTGTGGGGCATGTGTGATGGGTTTGCATCTCCACTAGGTTGGCACCTCATCGGCCGGTGCCGGCTGCTCAGTTCGCCTGGCCCGGGCCGCGGGGCATGACCACGGATCACGTGATCGCCTGAGGCCCGGCGCCGGCGGCTGGGGCTGCCGGCGGGCCGGCTGAGAGTCTGGCGGGAACCGGGACGGCGCGCGGAGCGGGGAGTTCCGCGCTGAGTTGTGATTGCGACCTCGTCGGCACCGGGTGGTGACGGAGTTGTTACCGACAATATATTCAGAGTTTGTGCACTTTGTCGTTTTGGCCAGACCAGCACATGGCGCGGTCGGTGGTCATTAACGTAAACCTGCAGTAAAATAACGTAACGCTGAAAATGCCTGACGAGCGTCAAGAACTGGAGGTGGCACAGGAGGCGGCGGTGGCTGGAGCCGTTCAGCCTGCGACGACAGCGGCGGCCGGGACGCAACAGAACAACACATCGTGGCTGGGAAGAGCCGCGCAGCCGGACCGTCTGGATCTGTCGACGGATCGGGGCGACGCGTTCCGCTCCTGGAAGGAGAGATGGGACGACTTTTACCTCCTCGCCGGCATCGCCAGCATGCAGCCGAACGCTCAGATGGCCGCCCTCCGATCGTGTCTGACGGACGACACGAACCGCGTCGTTCGGAACTTGCCCCTGACTCCAGAGGAACGACAGGACGTCAACGCTGTGCTGGCACAGCTAGAGACGTACGCCATTGGCCAGGTGAATGAGGTCCTTGAGCGAAAGCGGTTCAACAGCAGAGTTCAGGGTGAGGGGGAGACCTTTGATGATTTTCTTACATGTCTCCGTGACTTGTCTCGATCTTGTAAATTTTGCTCGTCGTGCAATGAATCACTGATACGGGATCGTATTGTTATTGGTCTGAGGTCGGCAGAGACCGTCCAAAAGCTCTGTGCCATCCCCAAACTCTCTCTGTCCGCCGCTATATCTCTCTGCAGGTCGGAGGAGGCAGCGTACCGAGACGCCTCGAGGATCCGAGGGCCCGACGCCACCGTCGCTCGCGTGGACCGCGACGCGACCTTCGACCAGGGCCAGCCAAGAGGTCATCACGATCTCTCCCCACCGGCGGCGTGTCGCGTGTGCGGCCCGCAGCAGGTCCATGACCGGCGGCCCGGTCCCGCAGCTCAGCCCTCGACGGGGCGACCGTCACAGCGGCAGTCTGCCCCGGCGACTCCTGGGGGCGACCGCTGCGCCAGCTGCGGGTACGTCCACCGGCGCGGTAACGACTGTCCCGCCCGGGGCCGGGAGTGCCGCGCATGCGGGAGGGTCGGCCACTTTGCCAGCGTCTGCCGATCGACGCAGGTGAGGCCGTTCCCGGGCTCACAAGTCCAGGGCGGGCCGCCGTGGCCCTCAACCTCTGCGATCATCGCGTCTACCGCTGCCGAGGGAGCCCCGAGGGTGTCCGTCCGGGTGGAGGCAGGGAACCGGAGAGTGACCGTGGACGCCCTCCCTGACACCGGGGCTGACCTGTCGGTGGGCGGCGAGGACCTCTTGGCACAGCTGGGGGCGTCCCGGGAGGATCTCCGCCGACCAGTGCACCACCCGCGCGCGGCCAATGGGAGCGTCATCCCGTCGGTGGGGATTCTGCCGGTCACCATCGCACTGGGGGACATCCAAGCAGAGGAGGAGGTACACATTCTGCCGGGAGTCAGAGGACTTCTACTGTCCTGGGAGGTCACGAGGACCCTGAAGCTCATCCCAGCAGACTACCCCCGGCAGATCGCGGCGGTAGGGAAGCCGGAGTCCACCACTGCCGCCACCGCAGAGCGCCGCCTGAGCTCGGGTCCCGATCCGACCGCTGGAGTCGGCCACTGCACGCCAACGGCCAACCCCAGCACGACGGCCGACCTGGCGGGCCCGCTGACGCCGCCTCCTGCTGGAGGGTTAGAGAACGCCCAGGACCCAACCAGCATTCAGAGACCTGCCGGGAGCGACCACTCACCAGAGTCACGTGAGTACACTGACCGATATCGGCTGATGTCGGAGTTCGAACGAGTGTTTGATGGCCACATTCGCACGATGCCAGGGGAAAAGTTTACCATTCACCTCCAACAGGATGCCCGGCCGTTCTGCGTGACGACCCCTCGGCGCATCCCGCTGTCCCTACGGGAACCACTGAAGGCAGAACTTGATCGACTGGAGGCAGAGGGAGTCATCTGCCGAGTCACTGCTCCCACCGAATGGTGTGCCCCCATCGTAGTAACGCCCAAGAAGGGAGGCGCAGGTGTGCGGCTATGCGTGGACCGATCTCAGCTAAACAAGTTTGTTCGGCGGGAGCGGTACCAGTCGCCCACACCGATCGAAGAAGTCGCCTCCATCCGTTCGTCTGAGGCGCGTTGGTTCACCGTATTCGACGCCCTGAAAGGGTACCATCAGTGCCCTCTGGCTGAGGACAGCAGACTCTTGACCACCTTCATCACCCCCTTCGGACGCTTCGCGTTTCTCAGGGCCCCGTACGGAGTGACCTCTATATCCGAGCACTACAACCGCAGAATGGATGAGGCGTTTGAGGGACTGACCGGCTTCAGAAAAGTGGTGGATGACGTGATCATCTTCAGCCGCACCAGATCGGAGCATCTTCAGCACGTGCGGCAGTTCCTGCAGCGTTGCCAGGATCGGGGAGTCTCTCTCAACGCCAGCAAGCTGCAGCTGGCACAGCAGACTGTCAAGTTTGCTGGATTCATCGTGTCCGGGGACGGCTACCGACCAGACCCGCAGCTCACTGAAGCCCTCTCACAGTTCCCGACACCCAACAACTTGACTGAGGTCAGGAGCTTCTTCGGGCTCGTCAACCAGGTGGCTTACTTCGTGGACGACGTAGCCGAACTGCTGACGCCCCTCCGCAGCCTCCTCAGCTCACGGCGCGAGTTCATCTGGGACGAGAACCATCAGCTGGCATTCGACAAGGCCAAGGCCGCCCTGACTTCTCTTCCAACTCTCGCCTTCTACGACCCGAAGCTACCAACCCGGCTGGAGACGGACGCCAGCCGAGCGCGGGGGCTAGGGTTCGTCCTTCGTCAGGCTCATCCCGACGGCACCTGGCGCGTGATTCAAGCAGGGTCACGCTTCCTGAGCGATGCCGAGACAAGGTACGCAGTAATAGAGCTGGAGGCCTTGAGTGTGGCATGGGCGGTGCGGAAGTGTCATATCTTCCTCAGCGGGCTGCCGTTGTTCCAGATTCTGACTGACCACCGCCCTCTCGTTCCGATACTCAACAGCAAGATGATGGACGAGATCGAAAACCCACGCCTTCAGAGACTTCGGATGAAGATCGGTGAAGCTGGCGTCTTCACCGCCAGCTGGCGGGCTGGAGCTGAACATGTCGCGCCGGACGCTCTCTCCCGAGCACCGGTCCAGGATCCTGAGCCGGGGGACGAGGTTGGTGAGGACGCCGCATCGCTCCGGGTGTGCGCAGTCGTAGTCGCAGAGCTGCACGCGTCAGGCACCGACGTCAGGCTGGACGAGGTACGCCGCGCTGCCCTGTATGACCCCGAGTATCAGTCATTGAAACGCACTATTGAAGAAGGGTTCCCCCAGACCAAGAATGACACACCAGAATCTATCCGCAGATATTGGACTGTTCGTGACCGACTGTCTGTCGATGACGGACTCGTGGTATGTGGGTGCAGGCTGGTTATCCCACAGGAGCTGCGCAAGGCTGTCCTAGCTGCCCTCCACGACGGACACCTGGGCAAGGAGAGGACGAAGAGCCGAGCTCGTCAGGTCGTCTACTGGCCCGGAATGGACGCCGATGTCGAGAACGTGACACGAAGCTGTCGGAACTGCCAGGCCCAGCTCCCGTCACAGCAGCGAGAGACCGTCCTACACCACCAGCCTACACAGCGACCGTTCCAGTCACTTGATCTTGACTTTGCAGAACACGCTGGGCGTAAGTACCTGATTGCTGTAGACGGATTTTCGGGGTGGCGCTTCATCAAGTTGCTGGGGAACTGTGCACAGGCTAAACAGCTGATGTCAGCAATGCGTGAGATCTTTTGTCAAGTGGGTGTACCTCAATGGATCATGTCAGACGGAGGGCCCCAGTTCGCATCCAAGGCGTTCCAAGACTTTCTGTGTCGGTGGGGTGTGGAGCATAGACGGTCATCTCCCCACTACCCCCAATCTAACGGGAGGGCGGAGGCAGCGGTGAAGGCCGCCAAGAAACTGATCCGGTGCTGTTGGGATGATTGCAGGAATCAACTGGACGAGGAACGGTGGACAAGAGGAATTCTACAGCACCGCAACACCCCCGGGAGAGGAGGAAGGTCGCCAGCACAGATCGTCTTCGGACATCCAGTGAGAGACACGCAGCCTGCTCATCGGCGGAGCTTCGCCCCCGAGTGGCAGATCGCTGCCGATGCGGCCGCTGGCCGCCTGTCGGAGCAACAGCAGCGCGCGGACGACCTCTATAACCGGCAGGCTCGGGACCTGGAGCCACTGGCCGTCGGTAACCAGGTGTCTGTCCAGGACGACCGCACCGGGCGGTGGGACCGTTACGATGCGATCAGAAGGTTGCGTGTTCAAATCACGTCGGGGTCACCAGTTATGAAGTGGTCAGGTAAAGGCTACGTGCTCTGTGATTGGAAGGAAAATGATTGTTCTGCCAAAATGACACGTGGGACGAAAGACAATGTTTAGGTAAGCGAGATAACGAGAGATCAGCGGTAAAAATTAAGGAAAAACGTGAGGAAAGCTCGCGCGAATACTCAGCCTGTCAGACGCCACTGTGCACTGTAGAAAAGCTATATTTAGCGTAGATATATCGAGATGTGAAACAACTGTGTAACGAGAGCCGGAATAACAATGGAGCGGAAGCGACAGTGCCAGAAACACAAACTATTTTAGATAAAAGATAGAAACGGGCTTACAGAAAACAACGAAATAATTACGCCAATTAAAGCACAATAAACTTATTTTAGAACGCAAGTAACATTATATAATCTTAAGACAATAGCGAAGATAATACGATTTAAATATAATACTAAAAACGAGATCAGAAGGTACTTGAAAAGGAAACAGTATTTGCGCACACGCGACAAAACAATAGCGCACTTGGGCGGAGACGCCGCAACTAAATAATGTGCCGGTGGGCTGCGCGGCACCACAGTGTCGTGTGTGAGGTTGGGCCCCATCGGAGGTATTTTGTGCGGTTGTCCAGCGGGCGTTTGCTGACGCGAAATCGTAGGCATCTGCGGCGTCGTTATGGCCATGCCATCCCTGACGAACTGGCTCAGTGCGTGCCACCGGTGGTGAGCCGGCCGCCGCCGGTGCTCCAGCAGAGGGAGCCTGCGGCCGCGGCGCCGTCGGCCCCGCTCGGGTTGAGACGATCCACGCGTGTGAGAAGGCGCGTGAAACGGTTAATCGAGGAAATGTGAGCAGATGTGACTGTGGGGGAGGGGGAGATGTGATGGGTTTGCATCTCCACTAGGTTGGCACCTCATCGGCCGGTGCCGGCTGCTCCGTTCGCCTGGCCCGGGCCGCGGGGCATGACCACGGATCACGTGATCGCCTGAGGCCCGGTGCCGGCGGCTGGGGCTGCCGGCGGGCCGGCTGAGAGTCTGGCGGGAACCGGGACGGCGCGCGGAGCGGGGAGTTCCGCGCTGAGTTGTGATTGCGACCTCGTCGGCACCGGGTGGTGACGGAGTTGCTACCGACAATATATTCAGAGTTTGTGCACTTTGTCGTTTTGGCCAGACCAGCACAGCATGTAAGCTCCTAGCTGTGGCATTTCACATGGCCTATCTTATGACTGTCAGGGATGAATCAATTGATATGGGCAGCTTGATGGTTACGGAGCGAGCGAAGCGAGCGTAGTCTTTCCTTAGATTAACGGAAATTTCTGAGTATGAGCGGCCGGCCGGCCGGCCGGCCGTGGTCACGCTTTTGCGAGGCTTATATCTCAGCAACCACTTGACCGATTTACATGCGGTAATTTTTGTAGGGTAGCTTCATTCCTTCTACCAAGTATTGCACTATTCCCGATGCATGTGGGTGACCCCTTATGCACGTGCCACGTGCAAAACGAAGAGGTGTCACTTTTGTAATTGTTGCAATATCTCGGTAACTACTGGGCCGATTGCGCTGAGAGTTGGCATGTAGGTAGGCACCCACTAGGCAATGCATATCCATGTGCCAGAGTTGGGGTGCTGCTGCACGTGCGCACGTGCAGGGGTCGTTTCCAGATCTCGAAAACGGCTGGACCGATTGCGCTCAAATTTGGTACACGGTTACGGAGCAGTTAGTAGGGTGCCGTGCACAAGTCAGTTGGGACCCATTTTGCACGTGCGCACGTGCAGGGGGCCGCTTCCAGATCTCGAGAACGGCTGGGCCGATTGTGCTCAAATTTGGCACATCGCTAGAGACCGGTTAGTAAGGTGCCGTGCACAAGTCAGTTGGAGGTACCCCCTCGCAATTTCGCACGTGCAAGGCCCACCCTCTCGCTCGCTCCGTTAGTCGCCCCAAAAGGCGTTAAACTGGTAATGTATTTGTATTTTCTCATAAGGACTTCTATGCACCACAAAACCAGATAACAAGATAAGAAATCAACTAGTATATCTACTAGACTTGACATGTTTTAAGATGTCAGCATTCTAAAGTAACAGAGCTATATTGCTTATTAGGAAGAAAAGCCCCTGGAATGAAAGAGAACAAAATTTGAATAACACTTGTGACAATATCTGAATGGAACACTAATCATAAACATGACATGATGCTATTTATTGCCTTACTGACTTCAGCAAAGCCTGTTCAAAGGAAATGCTCCCACCATTCCGTGAACCAGGGCACTGGACCAGGTAACTGACTTTAACTTTATAAGAAGTAGTTCACTCAGCCTTCTTGCATTTGAAACAATGAATGTTAACTGAGATGTCATTTGTCATATCACTACCTAGTCAGGGTTCTCTTACCTGGTTCTCTTACCTGGTTGGGTTCCCATTTGTGTCGGAAAGAAAAGGCAAGGTGGAAGGACCGAAAGGAATTGGAAGGAACCCTGAATGCCAGACGCGCCAGCCCAGTTGTGATATTCTTGACCATTAGTCCTGGGAGTTTTGACTGGTATTGTGCGTCTTCCACAAGCTCGTCAGATGAACACAGTCACATTTCTACACGCTTAGCTACGAGGAAGTAACCTACATACCTATAACTACTTACAAAATCAGCACTGCTCATCCTCAATCATATCTGAACAGGCTATTACGTGCATGTACCTCAATCATTTTCTTAAAGCTAGCTATGTTAGGTGCACGGACAGCATCCTCAGGCAGTGAGTTCCAAACAGCAATGCATCTGACAGAGAAAAAGCGCTTTCTAGTGTCTGTGTGGGTGAGAGTGGGGAAAATCCTAAAGCAGTGGCCCCTAGTCCGCTCCTGTGGAGGGCGGTCAAACAGGTCATCTGGACTCAGGCACGATCTACCGTTAAACAGCTTCCAACATTGTATCAAGTCCGCACGAATGAGCCTCCCTTGGACAGAATACAGGTTCAAGGACTGTAGGCGATCTGCATAGCTTAATCCATTCATTCCATCCACTCGCTTTGTCCACTTCCTCTGAACATTTTCTAAGACCCGCAAGTCTTTCAGATAACCTGTATGCCACAAGCATGAACAGTATTCTAAAACAGGTCGGATATGAGTAGTGAGCAAGAACAACATAAATGCGCGAGACCTGCAAACGGTAGACTTAAGAAAACTATGGGCCAGACCGCTAGCCTTGTGTGCAACAGTCCTAATGTGCTCGTGAAATTTAAGCTGCGAGTCGACAGTAACACCAAGATCAGAGTGAGAATCTACATGTGGGATTTGCTGTCCATCAAGGAAGTACACCGGTGAAGGCAAGTTAGCGCGGGGCCTCGCAAAGCGGAGAACTGCACATTTCTTTGGGTTCATTTTCAGACACCACGATGCTGCTGTGGTTTGCAGTGTATCAATGTCTTTTTGTACTTGGGCAGAGGATAACACTGGTGAGGTTCCTGGGGCATGTTTCACACAGGCATAAAGTTTCAGGTCATCTGCAAAAATTTTATATTCACTTCTCAGCTGTGATGCTACGCCGTCAATATAAACCAGGAACAACAGGGGCCCAAGGACAGAGCCCTGCGGTACACCACTGCTGACAACCCTAGGTTGGCTTATCATGTCCTTCACACACACCTGCATCTGTCTGCCCTGGAGAAATGAACGTATCCAGTCAATGAGAGCACCTGTCAAACCAATCGATCTCAGTTTGGTTATCATGAGATCGTGGCAGACGACATCGAACGCCTTACTGAAATCGAAGAGAATGACGTCAGTCACGCCACCAAGGTCCATGTTTTTAGACACTGTGTTATAAGCTAGGAGTAGCTGGTCCATTGTACTTCTGCCAGCCCTGAAACCGAATTGGTTTGAGGTCAGCAGTGAGTTCGTTTCCAGGTAATTACGTATCTGCGTGCAAATCAGGCGTTCCATCGTTTTGCACACAACAGACGTCAGACTGATAGGTCTATAGTTTAGTGGATCAAACCGGGAGCCCTTCTTGAAAATAGGTATAACTAGGGATTTTTTCCAGCAAGAGGGTAGTCGTCCCTCTCTCTGTGATCTCGTGTATATAATCTGTAGAGGGTAGGCGAGGTCATCAGCACATTCCTTCAATACCTGTGGATGTATTCCATCGGGGCCCATGGCAGAGTTAGGGTCGAGATCTTTGAGAGCATGGCGAACATTCTCTGTACATACTTCTACATGGCTGAGAGTCCCGTCGAAGGCCTGGTGGGGCGAGGGGTTAGTGGGGGTGACAGTGGTGAATACAGAGGCAAAAGATGTTGCAAGTAGCTCAGCCATAGCTGTGGGATCATCAGTATGGTGACCAGATTGCAAAAGCAAGGGACCAACTGCTGGTCTGCCAGTCTTCTTGTTTCTTATATAAGAATGGAGCAGTTTGGGGTTGTCCTTTGACCTGTCAATAAGACTAGATTCGTAATCACACTGCGATCTGGCGGCAAAATTTCGCAACTCGCGGTTTACAGATGAGAAAAGCTTATATGTATGCTGCACCTCAGATGCATGGCACGTAAAAGGTGATCTATGCAAGAATGCTGACTTGGACTTCAAAAAACCTGTAATTTGAGCAGGCCAAAGCTTTTGAGTGTTGAGTGCACTTGAACCATAAATCCAAAATGACAGCCAGATGATGGCCAGGGCCAAGGTGATAGTAGCAGCAGATTGCAAAGACTACTGCTATCAGCAGACCAGGATGATCAGCTTCTGCTAAAAACTATTGGCATATGAAAGTGAAGAAAATACACCATTCAGCACATACCACAACACAAAATGTACCTAATAAAATGTAATATAAGATTTATGGTTCAATAACACCCTAGTTCTTGGTCTTACACATAAGGTTCAACATCAATATTATAACATTCATGCCACCAAACATAATTGATGCCATGTTACTTGTTCCCTCAAAGCTACAAAGGTTCAAATTTTTTTCAAAGATTAATTTCCTTCCTACCTATGTTTTTCATGTTCTGACTCTACAAATCATGCTTATTACCCTATAAGTGCCACAAAGTCATGACGACCCATTGAAGCGACATCACCTGAGTCCTGAGCCAGCCACATAGAACCTGACCTCATGTGAAACATACTTGGTGTGTCACAATACAAAAAGTAGGAAGGTACCTCCACTGCAGAGTGACACAACAACCACACTTAACTATTCCTTGACCACCAGGCCTGATCCACAGCAAACTGATGTAGGTACGCAACATTCTGAGGACTTACCACTATGTTCCGTGAAGACATTTCGTCTGTTTGATGCTCTTTGATCTCCAATATCCCGATTGGATTGCCGATATTTTGATGTCTTCGCCTTGTTGGCCGCACCCACCGTATTCAAAGGCTTCTCTTTTCCCTGGCTGGCACCCATAGTCCGGGAAAACGAGCATCAGCAATTTTTATCTTGGTTCTACATGTGTCACCACGACAAGCCGAGTACTCAGATACTCCGGCTTCGTACACCTTGCACCAAACTACCTACACAATTATCAGTTATCACATCTTTCACAAGCCTCAGCATCGAATTGATTCCTCGCAATTGTTTCTTTCTTTGAGTTTCCACATCCAGCAATCTGTTTCACGGCGCCGCCTTTCGCCGCCTTTCGTCCCCTTGGTCTCCCCGACTTGGGCCTTGGTAACAACTGGATTTCCATTACGTCATGGGTGATGATGTCACACCACGGGTGACGTTTCATTGCTGCTGCTGCTGTCCACGGAGGGCAGCGTTTGTGAGTGGAAAACAGTAGCAACATTGTAAATGAAGGCAGTATTGGCGCTTATGCTACATATGAAATTTATAACAACATATTGATATTAGTGAATGTTTATTTTTGTTGCTTTTCATAAACCCTCCATTTCAGGGTCTGCATGCTAAATTTCTGTTATTTTAGAGTCAAGCTATTGTACTAAGGGATTTATTTTGGCAATTTAGTCATTTGTTAGGTTATAAGGCTGCAGAAACTTTTAGTTGAGGTTGGTATCCACTATCCAGTTGCAGCTATAATTGTGTCATATTTTGTATCATTTTCTGAACATCAACATGTAAACACCTACCTATATGAATTCAAATTTTGTGATTGTAGAAAAGCAGTTACCCTCACATTGCAGCGGGGATTAGAACAATTAACCACACTTGTTATACAAAAAGCCTGTTTGCCATCAATTTTGGGAATCCAAATTGGGTATTGGTAAGGTAGATGTAGCACAAGCTGCCCGATGCACGAGAATGGGTCTTTCTAACCAAACCTTACCTGACCTGACCTACAACATACAGCCTTAAACCTAAAATTTACAACCTACGACCTAGTCCTACGGTATGACATATCACAACAGCTTGTGCTACGTCTGCTACCATGACCCAACTTTGTGCCAATTCATACCAACTTGGGATGACAGTCACTGCAGATGTGTGCTGACCATGCAGGTCTTTGTTACAATTGCAATTCTATTGTGTTACAGGTTCGGCGTTCTACAGCTGCGACCCGCCATGGCTGGGCCACCGCGGCGGCATCACCTTCAGGGTGGACCTGCCCGTGGCCACCTGCCGGTCGGACCCGCCTGCAGTCCGCAGGGAAGCTGCCCTGCGAGCCATTGCAGAGCTCCCGCACCCGGACGTCACTATCTGGTCGGACGGCTCGGCTCGCGGCGGACGGAACAGGGCGGCGCAGGCGCTGATCCAGTTCCACCACCTCAACAGAGAAGGGACCGTGCGCGCTCCTGCAGGGGCGGTCTGCTCCAGCCTAAGAGCAGAACTGACCGCCATGCGCGAGGCGTTCGCGGCTGTGGCCGGCCTGGGGGACGGGGAGTTGGCATCGACCAAGTCGGTCCGCCTCCTCACCGACTCAAGGTCTGGGCTCCAACTACTCGGCCGCGGCCCAGCTAACCAGACCATGGCCCTGGCCGCCGAGGTGTGGAGGCTGCTGAGTGCTGAGCACCCTCGCCGAGAACGGCACCGAGACGGTGCTCCAGTGGGTGCCAGGCCATGCCGGGCTGGACGGCAACGAAACCGCCGACCGCCTGGCTGGCGAGGCCACGGCGGGCGACCAAGACAGCGCACCGATCGACCTGTCGAGTGCGCGGGCCGCCGTCACGCGCCATGTCCGAGAGCTGTCGCGACAGAGGGCAACTGCTGCCCACCCGCACCCGGACCCCACGCCTGGCCACGACTCCCTGGCGCGCTGGGGTCGGTGACGCTGTCCCAGCTGAGGACCGGCACATCACCGCTGACCCGTGACACGCTCCACAAGATTGGCCCGGAAGCCGACGACGAATGCCCCGCGTGCGGGGAGCCCGACAGCGCGGCGCACCTACTGACCGATTGTCCGGCCTATGAGGCGGCCCGCCGCCGCCGCTGGGGTGTCGACCCTCGCCTGGTCGACGTCCTCGGCGGCCCGGCGACGAAGGTCGTCACCTTCATCGAGGATGTTGGGCGGACCGAGCCGCCGCTCGACCCGCCTGCGCCGCCGCCCCCCTGAGCGAGTTGGCGATGGGATGCAGAAGAAGAAGAAGAAGCAACTGCCAGCGCGCCACGGCGGCGAAGCCGAGTTCCGCCGCTGGACCGCCCGCGCAATGGCCAGCACAGACAAGAGACAACCGAATCACAACACCTACAATTACGTTATTGTTATGGTATTGACATTGTTACAATTAACCCTGCTCTTTCGAGCGTGGATGCACGCTGAAATTGTCGCATAATTCCATGCAGCTTCCACCCTTCTGCAATACAAAGTTTGAATACAATGTAGTCTTACAATAGGTTTAGAACTTATGTGCAGATTGTCGATGCTGGTTGACTTGATGATTGGAATTGTGTTTATCTGTTTCATCTGTTTTGACTTAAATATATGGCCATGGACTATGGCCTACCTTGGGAAGTGTCTCTGATTTCAACAAAACATTTTTCATCAGGATACGCTACAGGGTACATAGTACATGCGTAGTGAAAATTTTGAGCATGTATGGGTGCGCATGTGGAGATGTAGACTGCGAATGAGACGGACTACGACGGTTTTTGAACCAATTAAATCTGATTGACAACGTAATGTAGGACTAAAAACTGACTGTCAGAAGAATATTCACAGAATATTCACTTCACCCGTTACAACGAAAAGGGAAAGTCAGGGAACAGAGGCAGGGTACATCTCGAAGATCAATCAAATTGCAGGTGCCGATTGGTTATGGATCATCGTAGCTCAATGTACTGCCTTGTGCTGCTTTATTGATTGAAATTGCTTCCAGCTTGTATTAAAAGAAGTCATTATGTAAGATTTTAAAAAGGTTCTTGAAAAATTTAAATACTTTGAATTGATATTTCTGCAGAATAATACACCCGTATCATTCTTTACATGTCAATATTTGTATATTATCTAGCAGGTAAGAAAATAGTGGCCTCAAGTTTCTAGAAAATATCTGATTTTGCTCTCTGGGCCACTGCAGATCCCTAAAAAGTTAGGAGCCGTCTTCATTATTTAATGTATAAAACCAAATAAATTATCACTGCTCAAAAGTGGAAGAAATGACAAATGAAAAAAAAAAGTTTTCCTACAGCGTTGCAATCCAGATTTCAAGATAGTGATGGGCGCACTAGAAAGCAAGTAAAAGTACTCCACAAGGTAAAAGTAAGGAACAAGAATATCCTTATACTGTTTCAGAATTCGGTAACAAACATTTTTTGTGTGTTTTAAATACCCGAACGAATCGATTCCAGAATCAGTCTTGATGATACTATTTGGTTTTTGTATGGTGTTGGTGGTACTTGAATGACCAAAGTCAGTACATGTCCATCACCTTTCGATATTTCCGTGGTGCTCGCTCCCATTTCATAGCTGCTCACGGTGTTTTCTGCTGACGTCATATGGTGCTGCTCCACTAGCGCCACCATACGGCGTCAGCTGGCGAATTATCCAGTTAATACCAGAGCCCCCCGACTTATTGTTTTTTTTTCTTGAAAGTTGATATATTCATAGCTGAAAAAGGATTGATTTACAATTTTTGAAAAATTCATTAGCCCGCAACATTCTAGTACTTCATTAAAATTTGTGATAAAAATAAAATTCAATGCTTATGCTTATGGACTAATTGTATTCGTACTTGTCATGTACTTGCGTATTGTTTCCACCTCTAGGAAAGTCTTTTATTTGGCATAGAGGGCATAGAGTTAATCTTTCCAAATTTAAAGTTGATTAAACAGTTTAGCCTACGGATTTATTATCTTAAACTAATAAAAATATTTAACTTAATTGACAAGATGTGTAATTGATTTCAATGTCATAAATCGTTTGCATCAAAATTATTTTGATAATTTTGTGAAATTGCGCAGCATAGACGTTTGAGGATAGCTGCTAGTTTGTAAGTGAATAAGTTTTGATGACGTAATTTAAACTAATAATAGATTCTAAGTTTTAACCCTACATAATGTAGATTAAAACTTTTTATTCTTTTTACAATAACTTCAAAACTACAAAAAATGACGGTTTTCAATGTGTGACTGGATGAACAGAAACATTTTGTTTATTCAAACGTCACTTAGATGCTTTCTTTGCTACAACGCACATAAGCGCCGCGATGAGCCACCGCGCGGAATTGTTGATAAAAAAGAGATAACGGAAACATTTATTACATACCCTGAGGGGAATATCATTGAGCTTTTGAAAATATACTCAGTTTTCCGGGGACTTTGGTAAGAATGACTTATGTTCTTCTGGTGTTTGGAGAGTTCAGTGGGTGGCCTCTAAAAATCTTTTATCAGTATTCCTAAGTCAAAGAGAGCATTCAGCATACCAATCACAATCAGGGTGGACATTCGGGGTTAGGTAGATAGAGGGCACGTATTTTGAGACCACAACCCAAATTGTAGCACTTTTAACAATATTTCAAATTTATGTAGGTTGTAAATTATTAGATTCTGTAAGCTTTGCCTTTACAAATTTGTTTTGTTAATTTGTTACTGTAATTCAGAGATGGTAACTGCTGTATGCCCTGCGGCCACCTCTCCCGGGCGAACAGCCACCTACCAATGCTTGCTGGGTTTGGGATAAATTGTCAAATGTAGTACGTACCTAACCAATGCTTGCCTGCTCACATTCATATCAGTTTCTCCTGAAAATGGCTGAGAGACCAGAGGATCTGAACCTCCCTGCTGCTGTGGTGACGCGCCTCATGAAGGATGCTCTACCAGAGGGCTGCAATGTGTCCAAGGAGGCACGCCAAGCTGTCTGTCGAGCTGCCTCAGTTTTTGTACTCTACCTCACCTCACAGTCAAATGCATTGGTGAGTGCCTGAATGGGTGCATGAGAAGGAATGATAAAGCTTGATAAAGTTTAAAAGTTTTAAGCTTAATAAAGACTGGTAAAGTTTGGGTGTCTCAGCCATATGTTATTCTTGGGCCAGATCTGACATCTGATGCTGACTGTTGGTGATACTTCTTGGTGATATCAGGCTCTTCTGGTGCCTGGCACTAACCAGTGATTGCCCACAGAAATATGAAAATGTAGTTCTGAATATGAGTGTAACTGTCATGTGAAACCCACCTGTTTCTGCCATCTTCTGCAGGCCCAGCAGAGTAAGAGGAAAACTGTGAATGGAGCTGACGTGATAGCCGCCCTCACAGACATGGAGTTTGATGAGTTCTGTGACCCTCTCAAGGAGGCTCTGGAAGGTACCTACATGCTAACAAACAGGGTCTGACTTAAGAGAGGGAATGGGCTGGCAACCATTATAATTTATAAAGGTGACAAGGTGCTCAGACTATGAATAGTTCAACCATTTCCTGTAAGGGGTTTTGGGATACTCCCTTTCTGACAGCTTTTACCTAATTGCTTAGGGTTAGATATAAACTAAAATGCTGACCAACTGACACTTGAATAAAATTGGACAGATTGGCACCTTTCCAATATTCAGGTCAGGCATGATGCTGTGTGTAAACCTTTACTCACTCAAAAATGTTTCAAGTCCATGTCACTGTTAATGCCAAAAAGAAATTTTGTGAAGGGAAGAGAAGATATAGTTGAACTGAGCTCAGGCCTGTCGAGTAACCAGAGTCATTCTCTTGGAATCTGTGAAGAAATGTTGACATTGCTAGCTTTGCAAAGACAGTAGAATGGATGATGCAACAGACTGGAAATAAACAAGTCTTGCTTTCATTCTTTTCTGAGATATGTTGTTTTAATTCCACAAGATGGACTCTGAGATATTGTAGGTTATACTGGGCATCAATTAGGCCATTTCATTTTATCAAACTCCTATCAAACTGAGGCATACAGTGGAACGGCACAAATAAGATCATTTTTTACTACCGATTCGAATCATGGTGTTCAGCACACCCTATCCTTCTAAGGCTTGTGTCCTCTGACAGTCAGATTTGACTTCATCTTCACCTTCGATCATGTTGACGTCGGAAGAAAACATACCTTTCGACGTGGCTTGACGCGACAAACGCGACAGCACCAGGACTGTTGATCTGATACACTTTTTGTAGTCATTGACAAAATAAACAATCCGACATCTATAACTGACCGGACGACACTAGCTGAGATGGATATTAGCGTGTTCCGGCCCAATATGTAAATTATATAAATTATCTGCCATGGGTTTAGCGATGAATTTTCTGGAGCGTTAATCTGAATGTGCAGTTAAGCGTGTGGATGCTTCGTGTCCAGTGTCTCGTATTTTGCCCCGCGAGCTCGCCGCTGGCTCGGCAGTGACACGTGGCGACTCGCAGCGTGATTTTTGTGTTGCCAGTTTCTTCCAACTGCTTTCGTTTAGCCAACCGTTGATCAAATACATGCTAATCGAGAGCACCGTGATTTACTACCGTAACAATTCCAAAATGTACATCTTTGTCGGAGTAAATTATATGCCGCATGCGAACGGGGCCAAGCGTGAACTAACTTCGTTTCATAACAGGTTATTCCTCTGTTGACTAGTGTCATTCCTCCCCAGACCACAAGTCGCGGCAAAAGAACAAGAAGCTCTCCAAGAAGCGGAAGGCGGACGATTCAGAGGAGACGCCGGTCGCCGAGGAGACGGAGGAACCGGAGCAACAGGCCGAGGGAGGCGATTAGTGCCCGTTTATTTTATGCCCCATACGCACACGATCACTCTGTATATATCCACCGATTTCGTCAATCCGTGTACAAATAAACATGTTCAACTGTCTGCTCAGTTGAAAACAACTGCCTGTGACGAACCCATGTGCCGCACAAAGCTCGATACAAAGGCTAACAAACGGCTGGTTCGGACGTCAATGGACGTGCGCGCCAGTTCATCAACACGACTCACCAAAATAGATCCCAGTCACTCACGTCAAAATAGCAGCGGCTTCGGTTCCGAGCGGGGAGACGCCGCAATGGCACACGCGGGTCGAGCTCTGGCTCGTGTAAATGCTGCTGATCGCTACGCTACTGTACAGGCCTGAGGCAGTGCGGCTCTACAGACGGCCAGTGCCCGCGGCGCCCACCGGAATGTGACTAGGGCCGGTCCCGCCCCCTGCTCTGCAGACACCCACAGGGTGCTCTGTATCACGAAAGAATGGTCGCACGGCGCGGAACAACTCGGCGCTTACATATGAAACTGCGTGTGGCCCCACCACACCAGTACACAGTTGTGCGAGTGTAGGCAGTCGCGGCACCCGCAATCGATGGCGTGAATCGCCGTGCATCCGGCCGGCCTCTGTCACGAGTTTGTACGCTGTCGGCACTCGCAGCCACGGCCCGGCTACGAGGAGAAGATGCTGTGGTGTTGCAGCGTCTGCATAAACACCACACTCGGGTTTAGGGGGTTCAGCTGCGGCAGCGAGCGACTGCCGGCGGCCACCGCGGTGCCAGCCGGCGCGGCCGCCACCACGTGCACGCCGCTGTTGGAGTCGCTGGTCACCGAGCCGGGAGACAGCTGCAGCGGGTCAAGGCCCACCAGCACGGCGTGCGTGCCGCCGGCCGGGCCGCCGCTGGCCGCGCTGCCCGACGCACTGAGCTCGGAGGGCGCGCGCATCCGGCGCCGTACGCGCCGGCTCGTCTCGCCCGTATGTAGCGTCTTGACGTGCGCCAGCATGTTGTACTTGTACCGGAACGTGCTGGGACAGTGCGGACACGTGAAGATCTCCGGGTTGGCGTCATGTTGCCGTAGGTGCTGCTTCAGGTTCTTAGCCTGCTTGAAGGACTTGGAGCAGAAGTGGCACACAAAGTCGCGGATGTTGAGGTGTCCGCGCTCGTGGTCCTTCCAGTTGTTGCGGTGTTTGAAGCTGCGGCCGCAGGTTGCGCAGCTGAACGGCCGGTCCTCGCTGTGCGTGCGCAGGTGGGTGTCCAGGCTGCCCTTGGCCTTGAAGCTGGAGCCGCACAGGTGGCACGTATAGTTGCGCTCGTCCGAGTGGATGGCCCGGTGCGAGGCCAGGTTGCGCGCACTCACCACCTTCCCGCACACATCACACGTGGCGCTCTTCTCGTGCGCGTCGCGCCGGTGCTTGATGAAATCGGACATGTTCTGGAACTCTGCGCCGCACACTCTGCACCGTTTCAGCTCGCCGCACTGCGCCACGTGCCGCTCCAGCATGCCTCGCTTGTTACCGGGGTACTTTTTACCACACTTGGTGCACATCTCGGCCGTGTGGCTCAGCTCGTGGTGCCGCTTCTGTTTGTACGTGAGGAACATCTCCGAACAGAGCGTGCACTTGAAGCGCTTGATCTGCGCGTGCTTGGCGATGAAGTGGTCGCGCGCCTTGGCTGCGCGTGAGTACGTATTGGTGCAGAGCATGCACCGGAAGCGCGGCGACGTGCCGTCGGCGCTCTCCGTGTACATGACGCCCACCTCGGGACCCAGCGGGTACGACTGCGACGAGCTGCGCCGCTTCTGGGCGCGCCGCGGCTGCCGGAAAACGGGAGGAGCGTCAGCGGACGGCGTGGGTCAGTGTAAAACGGACCGGGTGGCGGGGGCAGTGGAAAACGGACCTAGCGTCTACGGGAGGGGGGGGGGGGGCAACGTACAGCGGAAACCGACGTATTGAAACAGTTCAGTAGTGCACCTGGCCGTTAACATCGGAAACGTACCGCTTTACCGGAACATTACACCTTGTATCAAAGGCAACTTAAATAAACAACGATTCAAGAATGGATAATAACAGTAAAATCACCCGGGTAATTAACCTTCATCGTGTAACAAAGTTAATACCAAAACACAATATGCAGGGAACATTGCATATCAACAAATAGCACATGCAAACCCTTCTGAAACAGCGAACGGAAGACATGATAAGAAACGCAGGCAAAATGCCTGCTGACTGATGTGGTCACTCGATGAGCTCCACTCACCCGCTCGACCTCGACGTTCATGACCACGTCCATGTCCACCTCGCCGTCCTCGTCGTCATCGTCGATGACGGGCAGCCGGTCGGCGATGTAGTCCTCGTCATCCACGTCATCCACGTCCTCCTCCTCCTCGTAGTCGTCATCGTCGCCGAGCGGCGGCGAGGCGCCGTCGTCCAGCGACGCCGGCAGGTCGGCCGATATGTCGACAGACTCGTGTTTCACGGCCGCCGCCGCCGCCGCCCGGCTCTCGGTTCCAGACGGCACCGCCGGTGGTTCCCCCGCCGCCGCTGGTGCCGCGGGTTCCACGGCGGCGGGGACGGGGTCGGCAGAACCGGTGGGAGCGTCGCCAGCGGGGGAGGTTGAGGGCTCAGTCGATGTCGCCGTCGCCGCTGGCGCCTCCGCGGCGTCTGCGGCGTCCGGGTGCATCTGCGGGCACGACGGGAACGGTCTGTTTGCTGGTTTGTTGTGGCTTTAGGGCGCATCAACAGTGGGGCAACGAGAACGGTGTGTGATACCAAACCGTAAATGAACTTTCCACTCATGTGTCCAGAAAATCCAATCACGAGATTACAATGCTTGCTTTTGACGGTTTAAGCGGGAAGGTAAATGCGTCGCGGCGTAAAAGAGTTCCAAAAATGATTATTCCCTTTAGCAGTGGATGTTTTGTTATGTAACTATTTATTTGCCGAGTGCCGACCTATTTTCCACACAACTCGAAAAAGAATCACGTTAAAAACCCTGTAACTAGGCTCCTATATCTTTTGCGTGTAAAGCTTCCACAAAATACACCGCTCAGCCAGCATAATTCATGAACCGCAATCCTGACGAACCCCAATCCGAGGTCACCCTCGCTCGCAGTGCACCCACCTTCTGTTTGTGCCGGAGAAGGTGAGGTCGGTCACGGAAGTATTTCTCGCAGATGTCGCACTGCTCCTCCTTGCGACCGTGCACCAGGTCAAAGTGTTTCACCACAGCACGCATACGCGGCAACACCTTATGGCACCGGATACACTGGTACTCGTTGCTGGAGAGCTTCTCGTACACTTTGGGCTTGGAGTACCTGCCGATCTTCTTCTGCGGCGCCTTGTATATGACGTCGGACGGGTCCTCCTTGATGTCAACCTCCGGCATCTGGGGAGAGGAGGAGACCAGACCCGTGCCTGTCAGCTGGGGGCGGCAATTATCCCGGGGCTGTCTGTTTTATGGAGACGCCAGAGCGCCGCCGTTTCAGCAGCGCAACCAGAGGAAACTATATTTATCGATGGCGAAATCAACAATCCATCGGCACGATTTTGATTACAAACGATGTCCTCTGGAAACAAACGTGTGATGAGCTGTACTTACAAATAAAGCACTCTCTTGAGACTCCAGTAGAAGCTTAGATGGTCTGGACTCTGTAAAAGAGAACAACGTTTCACAATCCTGTCGGGCAATTTGTGATGTGGGCAAGCTCAACATGATCTGAACCGCTAAACAGTGCTGACAGCGCAAACTATGTCAGATATCAAGCGAGTAATTAAATCAGATAAGGTAACGTACTTTCCGGATCCAAAGGTGGTGAAACGGGATAAATAAAACACGCGACGTGGCGGTCACTCGATGGTCCCGTCGAGTCAGACCATTTTCGCCTATCAGTTATATCCACGCATTGAGGAAAGAGCGAACACTGAAGCGGCTCGAACCTGAATATTTACTACCCGCCCCGGTTATTACCCGTAAGTGAGTTACGCAAAGGACGATTGTCCCGCGTCTCAGCCAGGATCGGTGTTAAGAAGGAATCGCACAGTTGAAAAACTGAGTAGTTGGATGTCTCGTCGGGCAGGAGCAGGTACGATTGGTTGATGTCTGACGACCAAGGACAATGTGACATATCACAATAAAAAATACACAGTGGTGGAATTATAATTGACCAATGATAGCCACCTATTGAGTCATAGTAACGTTGTGCGAGTGTTATGGCTTACGTGTCGCGTAGGTGGGAAACAGGGCTGATAAAATGAAATGCTCACACTACTTAAGGACTGGAAAGAAAGGGCACACACGTTAGGTCTGATGTGCTTATGTCTGATATAATTAGACCACAGTTATGAAAACAAACTTTTACGGAAAATTACCATGACCGGCACACGAAACCAATCATATGGACAGCATCATATTGCATAGCTACTCTTGCATAGAAATAACAAGTAATGTTCAATAGAATGATTCCAAAAGCTACCAGTGGGTTAGTTCAGGAGTGGAGCCATTTTCGAAGTCATTACTCACTGCGCCGTCCCTTGCGCTGCGGCCGGACCCGACGGACCTCCACCGTGTCCCAGAAGAAGCCCACCACCTGATCCTTCAGGTGCTTGGTTTGCATCTGAAACGGACCAAGACAGAGTCATCTACAGTGTCCTTATCCAACGTCTGAACTCCGAACATACAATGTTAACACACAAAAGGAGACTGTCATTTAAACCTTTTTTCAAGAGGGGTTCAAACAACAAAATAAGAAGTTAAATAAGTTGCAAGCCCTGCTTCCAGCTAACATTCACAGCAGCAGTATCTGGCCCTCACTCAAACTCAGCAGCGTATTTAGGGCCTTGCTCAGCAGTATCTGGCACTCGCTAGCCCATCCCTCCCATCCCCACCCCCACGAGTGGCGGTGGCGGCACACTCACCTCGAGGTCGTGGATCTGGCAGAGGGTGGTGTGGCACCGGTCGCACACCACCTCGCTGTGCAGGTACAGCCGGTAGTCGTTGTTGATGATGCCGCTCAGCTTGTCCTCGATGCGGATGTGCGCGTTCTCCAGGTAGTCGGCCAGGTGGAGGCCGCCGTTGTCGCCGGCGCCGCCGCTGCCTCCCACCGACTCCACCGGGTCGTTACACACCAGACAGTGTAGGTCGCCCGGCTCCGGCTCCGGCTCCGGGGCGGCCAGCGCCGGGAGCGACTCGACAGACTCCTGCCCGACCCGCTCCTGCTGAGCGCGCCGCCGGCTACTCCTCGGCTCCGGCTCCGGCTCCGGCTGGCTATTCATCGACTCTGGCTCCGGCTCCGGCTCCGGCTGGCTTTGCATCGGCTCCGGTTCTGGATGGATCTCCATCGGCTCTGATTCTGGCTGACCTGGAATAGGCTTCGACTCGACTTGTTTCTCGGCCAGCTCCAGCAGCGGCTCTGCATGGGGTTTGGACACGGTCACCAGGTCCGGTACGATCAGCTCCTGTTCCCTTTCTCCTTCAATCGGCAACACACTGCCGGCACCAGCCGGCGGCGGGCACGCTCCAACCGCCTTTGTATGCGACGTGGATGGTATGGTGGTAGCAATCGGTACCGCCTCGGCAGACGGAGGCGGCATGGACACGGCGGATGATATCGCCACCGGCACCACATTGACCGGGACGGCGGTGGCGGCGGCCGCGGTGGACGGCACGCCGGGCTCCGACCCGGGCGCCAGTCCCGACGCCAGCTCTATGGTGACAATCGGCACTGGCTCCGACATCGCCACCGACACCTGCTCTGTGCTGATCCGAGCCACTGGCTCCAGCGCCGCCTGCGTCACGGCCGGCGGCGCGGCCGCGGTCATTGCCGGCTGAGGGACAGCGCCGGACGACACGCCGATGACCTCAGCGGGAAGAGCGTCCGCCGCAGGGCCGTCTCCCGTCACCACAGCCGCGGTGACAGTGTCGTGGCTGTAGTCACCAGCAACTCCCAGCACCACCAGGCCAGCTGCATCCTTGGAGGCTTTTGGCGTCTCAGCAGTCAGCTCAGAGATGACTGTAGATTCGGCGCCCAGCTCTGGCAGTGACTGGATGCTCATCTCTGCAGCCACGCCGGGCACCTGTTCAGGGGCAGCCCCCTCTCCTGACATGATATATGGAACAGGCTCCTCCTTGTCCAGTGATTGGATGTCCATATGCACCTAGACACTGCTCCAACAGCTGAAATAAAAAAATGATCAAAATAAGTAATTTAGTATAACTAGCTGTAGAATATTAAAAAAAACTCATGCAAACACATTATGATTATTGACACATAAAAAGTTTGAATTCTTCACTTCCAATGGCTATAGATGCTGCATATTACCATCTTACAAAATTGCTTGCTTGCTTGTAGCTTTGAGTTGAGAGTAGTGCTGGAAATGAGGCCGCTTTCTGGTCCCGGCGTTTTATTCTCCGGGTGAGTTCGCCCCGTCTGGCGCTTAGCCTTTCGGGACCCTCTCAGAGCCGCGGTTGTTTTCGCCGCTCGGCCCATTCGAGATGCAAAGTTGATAGTCGCACGAAGTTTATTTGGGGCCTCTGAATATACGACTTCAAAATTAATCGATTCTACAAAACCTTTTACTTTCATCTATATGCATACATTTAACAGTAACTCCAGACTAGACTGGTTTGGCTGGCCCTAAATAAGCTTCGTGTGACTATTAACTTTGCATCTCGACTAGGGCGAGCGGCGAAAACAACCACGACCCCGAGTGGGACCCGAAAGGCTATACGCTGGACGGGATTAACCCGCGAGGAGAATAAAACGCCGGGACCAGAAAGCGGCCTCATTTCCAGCACTGGTTGAGACATCAACCACAGGGTCATAATGTGACCTCTTTAACTATATAGGTTTACAAGTCTTTGACTAGAACATGATAAGAAAATGCTGACTTGAGTTGGTTGTCTTAAGTACAATGAATATTATACCATGAAATATGAAGCACTCAGTAAAAATGATGGTGAATGTGGACAGCAATTTATCAATGGAACTAATGTGAAGGAAACACATTCACATAACCAGATTAAAACCAAAGACCAGTTTTACCAAAGAAATCTTGCTAGGTACCATGACTTTAGGCCTAAAATTGCTTCAAAATTTAGCCAGCCACATAAAAAGTTTGCCAATGTGAACAATAATGTCTTATGTCAGTGAGCCTTACTGATATTTTTACAACAGCAGTTATTCTTTTTACATTGCTTTAACTTGAGAAAACTTTAAGAAATATAAATATTTGCAGCCAGTGATTTTTCTATTGGTTAAACAGCCCTGATGATGGTATTTAAGCATTAAAGGCAAATCCTTCTCTTACCACACAAAAGCTTATTCTATTTTTACCTTAACCATTGCACCAAATTTATACTGCTGCCAAGTTTTTTTGATCAATTCAATTGATGCTTCTAGGTTTCCAAAATATTTTTTCTTCTAGTCAAAAAGATGCTCCCATGAAGTCAAACCCATAAAGAAAGACCTAATATTTGAACATTTATTTCTATAGACAATGAACATCTCAGTTTTAAGCAGCAATTTCATTGTCTTAACTTAAATACCACTCTACAGTACAGTCCACCAAAAAGGCTGAATACATAATCACCATCGGCCACATAGAGCCTTGCTATTGCTTGGAGCAGATTCAGCCCCCAACCACCCAACTTCTGATGGATGGACTGATGGAGATTGCATCCTGGAAGCCAGTTGTCACTTGTCATGCACTGAATATGGATGTTATCACTAAAGTAACCACATAATTGTAACAAAAATAACCAATGACCATCCATATTGTGTTATATTGCAGCCTTATATTATATATATATATATATATATATTATATATATATATATATATATATATATATATATATATATATATATATATATATATATATATATATATATATATATATATATATATATATATATATATATATATATATATATATATATATATATATATATATATATATATATATATATATATATATATATATATATATATATATATATATATATATATATATATATATATATATATATATATATATATATATATATATATATATATATATATATATATATATATATATATACACAGGGTGTCCAGAAAAAAAAGATACTACGGAAATTAAGTCGCATTTATTAACGCACGTGCCGATTTGTTTCCAACTTCATGTGCTTATGGTGCAAGATTTGGCAAAACTCATGAGCACTGTAATGCGTCGTTGGAAAGTTGTCTGCCTGCCCTCCGAGAGGGTCAACATGACCATCAGTCACCTGCCGACCGTGCTAGTGCTGGAGCTGATCCGCCGGAAGGCCGCTCACATTGAGTATCTGCTTTGAGGAGCTGCCGCGACTAACCAAAGGGTTTACATGCCATGTGGCACCTGCTGTCTGTTTTGCCATATTTTTGCGAATACAAGCATGTGCCATTTTAAAATGTGCGGTGTTTATTTTCGGAATTACAGCAAAAAATAATAGTATCCGTTTTTCTGGACACCCTGTATATATATATATATATATATATATATATATATATATATATATATATATATATATATATATATATATATATTTATATTTATATATATATTTATATAAATTGTGCCACATTTAAGCAGCATATTTGGATTCAGGATGTAAAAGAATGTAAGAATATGTATAACTTATGCTTGAAAAGTGAATAAGACTTCCTACATATTTAGTGGTGACATGTGGATTGTAGTGAGGTACCAAGGCCATTGAGGTACCACCATGGTACCACAAACTGCTTCAATTTGACTAAATAATCTGATACCGAAATGGATGTTATCTATTTTAATCCGTCAGCAAATGCATTATATTGACAAATAAACAAGATCCTATTGTAAACACCACAATCGTCTCCATTCAAGGGAGGACCCAGCGGACTCGTGAAGCGGAAGTCAGAAATCGATAATAAAAAGAGCCTGTCAATGCGAATAAATGTAAGCTTGCATATGAGCTGACTCACCCCAAAATGCATAAGCGAATCACTGCATGCAATTTACATGCAAATTATTCATCCCAAATCAATGTAAGAGACCCCCGCACAGAAATCTGCGACGCCATTGGAAAATAGAGATGTTGATGCTCCGTTTTTACTGCGATCAACCGCGATCAACTGCGTGCATGAAAGATATTTGATAAATTTCAAAAAACCTTAATTTAATCCTCAATTTCTTAATTTTTGTTGCATATGCATATCCCCACTATAGTTTGATAAGGAAACCCTAAAAAAGTCATTTGTGAGAAAAAAAGACAACAGAAAACCCGAGTAAAGTTTTCTAAGATTCGTTTTATGTACTTTTAATTTATTCAATTAATTGTATTTTTATTAAGTTTTATTTTTTGGCCAAATTCGCCAAAAAACAGCAAAGTCACTTTAGTGATGTAATGGCTGCGCCCATGCGGTATTTTTTAGGCAAACGCTGTTTATTGGTGCGCCAGTTCATGCTCATCTAAGCACGTTTCTGTCATTTCTTTCATTTCATTCTTTCCATTCGGTTCTGGTCCATTCGCCGGCGTTCGGTTCGCCACTTCCGGTTCTTACGTCGGTAACATCTTTGATCTGCAGGCTAGGACGGTAAGTTTTACGATGCTGGAATTGTTCCTGGTTTGTTCAGATGTTTATATGCATGCACCTCTAATGATAACTATAATTATACCTTATCGTACCTTACCTTAGGTAGTCATCGGGTTAAAAGGCCACTTGGCCTGTGGGTTCCGCTCATATCGAGTGAAAGGCATAATCGGAAAGGCTAAGGTCCTTAGTAGGGGGTGGGGATGTTGAACATTATGCTCGACCAGTACCCGTTCAGCTGCACCTTGAAAGATGACAGCAACTCAGCAGTGATGACATCTAATGGCACTTGGCAGGGTATTTCAGTCATTTATTCTGACACTGCACACGTTTCTGCGTGAGGGATGCTTGGCGACTCCATACTGGAAAAAATACACGTTATGCTGAATATGTCTGGTGTAGTAGCAGGATTGTGACAAAAATTTCAGAGCACTTCCGGCGTAACTTCGTATGCGCCAAATGCAGCACATGGCGGTGGCTGAATTTTTCGGCGCAGGACGGCCGCATAATTTTTTTGGTGAAAGACGGTCACCTAACTTGCCTCGTGTTCGATGTCTCCCTGATGGCGAAGATTCTACGCCGTCCGGCCAATCACGTTCCACAACCACAGCCGAGCCCCCGTTGACCTAGGACGGGATTGGCCGGATGACATAGAATCTTCATCGTCCGAGAGACATCAAATGCGGAGTTAGTCGGCATGCTGGTCACTCTAGCAGCAGATTCGCCCTGCAGGCGGCTCTGGAGAGGTTGCGGGACGAGACGTCCCCGCCCCAGTCGTCGGTGCTCGAACTGACGAGCTGCCCTGAGTACTCAGCAGGAGCGGCCACCTAGGCGAGGCCATAGTGTATATGGCGAGGCCTCAACCCTCTGAGTGTAGATAGGTATGGAAGACCTTGTTGAACATCGCCGAGCGTCGTTAAGTAGGTAATAGTGCAGTGGGGCCCTGCCCACTGCGGTATCGACGGGAATGAGAGCGCGGACAACCTGGCGAAACAAGCGGCCGCCCCGCCCTCAACCGCCCGCTCGCTGATCAGGGCGGTTCATTGTGCGGCCTCGCATCGATGGTGCGACAGCTGGTCCGAGTCACTATTCAAGCTGCTCCTCGGGAGCACGCCGCCGCTCCTTATCCCCGGAGAGGACCGAAAGGACGCTGTTTCGGTGCACCGGCAGATGGGGGCAGGGCATATTTTAACAAATTTTTACTGCGTCCCAAAGTTGAGCAGAGGGCACGTGCTACGACTAAGGGCACAGGGCAAGGAACAGAGTAGGGCACTGAGGAGGGCAGAAAGTAGGGCACGACAGGTTACAGGGCATGGCACAGGACATTTTAGAGGGAAGGGTACAGGTCAGGGCACACAGCAGGGCACAGTTTAGGGAACCGGACAGGGCACAGGGCAGGGACGCAGTCGGTCAAATCAGCAGGTGCTACGTCCCAAGGCGAGGGGGCTGCGTCCCAGAATGGGACGCAGTAAGTGCCTTAAAATATGCCCTGGATGGGGGCGGGCCACTGAAGTCGCTAGGTCCAGTACGTGCACCGAATATGGATGCCGGTGCACCAGTTTCGGTGCACCGGCAGATGGGGGCGGGCCACTGAAGTCGCTAGGTCCAGTACGTGCACCGAATCGGCTGTCTCCACTCCGCGGCGTGCCAGCAGTGCCTAGACAAGCGGTGCTTCGCGGCGCTCTGCGCCGTGTGCCGAGAAGAGGCTGATGTGCAGGAGCGAGCACGTGCTGCTCCGTTGCCCGGCCCTCGCCGGCTCCCGTTAGCATCGAACACCGCTCCGGCGATTTTTGTGACCCCGGAACTTTCCGGCCAATTGTTTCACGGCACGACGCTAGTGCGCTAAGCTTGTTTATTGAGGTATTGGAAAAAAAAACTTATTCAGACGCTCAAACATGGGAGAGCGTCCAAGGCTCTGGGACGCTCTGTCCTGGTTGATATAGCCATGGATGAAGTATTCCTGGATAGGACACTCCCAATTCCCCAACACTAGCGCCGGCGACCAAGCGGCCGCCCTGGTGGCGGAGCTCCGAAACATCGGCGGCGAGTGCGCCGGCGGCCGCCGCACCGGCTTGCGTGCTAAAAACGCGGTAATGGAGGTCGAAATTAGCGAACTTTAGCTCATTAGACACGATTTCAGAGACTTTACACATATTTTAAGTTCTTTCTTATAATTATTATGGCTCCATTTAGTCACTATCACATACGGAATCATTACCTACCTGATGCCCATAAACTGAGCCGGTATTCTTGACTTGCCGATGCAATTTATCATCAAATATCATCGTTCCTCGGCAGTCAAACAAGTTCCTATTGATGATTTAATACAAAAATCAACTTATTTTCATGTTATCGCATAAAACTTCACTTAATTCTTACATTGGCTCTTCGGCTGTAATCACGAACCCTCACTTGTCAGCAGAATTTAAGCAACTTCTTAAATCAAAACTGGGGAAAAAAATATTTCCATGACATTCCTCAATTCCTGTTCTACCCGGTTCACAAAAATTTTCATCAAAATCTGTTACAGGTAAGTAATAAACGACAAAAGTATACAAAAGGACACGCTCCGCCCATAGCCCGCAATGCTAAAATGGCGCCAGCGCCCTCGCCGTCGGGAAATCCGCCGCCGCCGCCGGGTGGTCGGAAAATCGGCGGAGTGTCCCATCCAGGAATACCTAATCCATGATATAGCCTTGATCGGTAGATATGCACATGTGCTTTATTGGCTTTATATAAAAGTGACTTAAGTTTTGGGCTTTGGCACAAATCGGCTGTCGGCACCCAATTTTCGGCGCAAATCATGCCAAATTTTCAGCGCAAAATCGCTCGAGCCGAATTTCGGCGCAAGAGGGTCTCACGGGCGTCCGGCGTAGTGTATGGAATCATGGATGTTTTCCAGTCTGGCTTGGCGTTTGGCTTCCTGAACTTCTGGTGGCCTCTTGTGGTTTGTGTTTCGTGTCTTGTCAGCAATGACTCAAGTGGCACGTCAAGAAGAACATGGAAGAGCTGGTACACGGTCACCATATTTCCACGGGGCACGGTGGCGGCGGTAGTGCTGCGATGGAGGCAGAGGCAGCGAAGCCTTTCATGATACGGCTGGTCTCTGAGCCCTGAGGTCTATGATCAGGCATGTCGCTGCTCCTGCTCCAGGCTCTTTTGGTCTTCTTTGGAGAATGGACCCTAGATGGCATTCCCAAACTCAAGGAACAGTCAGACTAAGGCCTTGAAAAGAAGCGGCAGGGTAAATTCATCCAGGTTTGCAAATAACTGACAGATCATTGCAAGTATCTGTGAAGCCTAGTGGTGGCTGTTTGCTTTTGGAATCTTAGCTGCCTGTCAATGATGATACCTTGGTCTTGTTCTTCCTCGCAGGTGGTGACAGCAGTCCCATTCAGGTGTTTCGTGCGACCTGGGATTATAATATTAATTATGCTATTTATTTCATTGCTTCATACCTACCAGGTTACCAACCGTGACACATGGAAATGCATTGTCAGTGCCTAGTGGGTGCCTACCAGTACCGACATGCCAAGTTTCAGTGCAATCGGCCCAGTAATTACCGAGATATTGCAATTGTTATAAAACTGAGACCCCTTCGTCTTGCACGTGGCACGTGCATAAGGGGTCACCCACATGTATCGAAACTAGTCCAATACTTGGTAGGAGGAATGAAGCTACCCTACAAAAATTACCGCAAGTAAATCGGCCGAGGGGTTGCTGAGATATAAGCCTCTTGAAAGCGTTACGGGCCGGGCCGCTTATGCTGAGATTTTTCCGTTACATTGAAAAGACTGCTTCGCTCGCTCGCTCGTAAAAACAACTCTGAATGGCGAATGCTCATTGTCAGAGCTGAATGCTTGAGGAAGAGCTCAAACTGAGTAAAAATGATAAACAAATAATATTTTTAGCACCAGCACCATACATAGGCACCGGATGGGAAATTTAGCTGTCGCGAAGTCCAAAGTTGAGAGATTTTGGGCGTTTTCATGTTTGTTTAGCTGAAATTCCGGAAGCAGGCTGCTGCGGCCCGTAAGGAAGGCATCTCAAGTGATCGCAGTGATTTGTTGGTTATTCCACCTGTTCGACAGATCAACCCTTCCTTTGCTTCTCAAGGCCCTTGTCCGACCCCACCTTGAGCACGGAAACCTATTGCGGGGTCCCTTCAACCCGGCAGACCAGCGGCTCCGGCTGGTTTACTCACCTGGTTTACTCACCTGACTGGGTTCCTAGTGTCGTTTGAGGAAGACTAAGAAATTAGGAGGAACAGGAACCCTGAGTCCTAGATGCACCAGCCGAAGTTCTTGTCTGGTAGAGCGGGACGCGGGCGCAGGGGCGGGCGACCAAGCTAGTTACGGATCTGTGATACCTCCCGCACTGAGAACAACAAAAGCACTGCAGCTGCCAACGCTGCACTACAGACGGAGGCGCAGTGATATGGTCATTGGTCACGGTTTATCAGCTGCTCCGCGGTGGTCTTGATATGAATTCTCACAGCTTATTCGAGATGGCAGCTGACAGAACTCTTGCTACAAGAGGACACCAGTGGAGACTGGCAAAGCCACGAGCGGTCTGGGATCCGGCGCAACGCGTTATCCATCCACGTTATCAACGACTGGAACAGCCAACCGCCAGCGGTCGTCGCCTCTGACACCCTGAACCAATTAAAAAACCGGCTGACGCCCACTGAGCACACCTCGCACACGTCATCCCTCACGCATACGTATAGTCGGACACACGGGGAGCTCGACTAGAAAGGTTTCTAAGGGCCTCTGGCCTATCCAAACTCCGTACTTCGTAAGTAAGTGAGCAACTGTAAATCATCTATCTACCTTTATGGATGCTCATGAAAATGGGCTGGCACTGGGAGCATCTCACCCTGTGTGAAATCATGGATATAAATACTGGCGAAAATAGCAATGTTTCAATAACAAGCCTTTATTTTAATTCAAGTTTACGTTCGCTGACACCTGTACAGTGAAAATGTGTTGCTGTCTGGCTTCAAAATGCCGTTTATTGCATTGATAATACGATGGTCTCAAATATCAATGTCATTTGTGGTATTGATGCTACAAGCAGCATTTTGAAATTTGAAGCCAGATGGCAACACAATTTCATTGTACATATTGATGTTAACAAACATGAAACTGAAATTATGTCAAGGCTTGCCGTAATCAAATGTTCTTTCTGCCAGTAGTTATATCCCGGACTTCCCGCATGGCTGGGATGCTCCCACCGCCAGCGTCTCCCCAGCACTCCACGGAAAATTTAGACCACCAGCCCGGCGCTGGTTGAGATAATCTGGAGGGGGGGGGGGGCGTGAAATGCTCTTCCGATCCCCTTGGTCAATGGTGTTCAACTGAGAGCTGAGTAAAGCGCAGGTTGATGGTAGGTGATAAATTTGTCACAGCGTGCTTTTCTCTGTTGCAGATCTGAACATTCTCGACTGTGCTTTCGTTCCGTCAATTACTTAAATACATAATGGCTGATGTTGCGGAGAAAACGGATGCTTCCAAGGAGGAAGTCGACGCCAAGGTGAAAGCTGATGAGCCGGCTGCAGATTCTGCTGGAGATGGCAAAGAGGAGTCTGAGAGTAATGCTGACGCAAAGCAAGAAAATGGGACCCCATCAAACCTAGAGCAGAAGATTATTCGTCAAATCGAGTACTACTTCGGTGACTACAACCTACCGAAGGACAAGTTTCTCCAAGAGGAGATCAAGAAGGATGATGGTTGGGTCAGTTTGGACACCATGCTCAACTTCCAGCGTCTGAAGAACTTGACAACAGACAAGGATGTCATCACCGGGGCACTGCTAAAGTCGACAGCCAAACTTATGGAAGTGAGTGAGGACGGGTCCAAATTGAGACGAAATCCTGAGAAACCGCTTCCTGAGTTGTCGGACGCTCGGAAACAGGAGATCATCAGTAGGTCTGTTTACATCAAGGGCTTCCCGAAGGAGAACACGACCTTGGACATGCTGCTGGAGTTCTTGAAGGACTTTGGCAAGACCGATAATGTACAAATGAGAAATTATCACGATAAGGTAGAAGACAAGTGGAAGTTCAAGGGCTCTATCTTTGCCACGTTTCCCTCCAAAGAGGAGGCTGAGGCTTTTATCAAGCTGGAGTCTGTCAAGCATGGTGACGAAGAGCTCATCAGAAAGTGGCAGGCTGATTACTTGGAGGAGAAGAAAATCGAGATGAAGGAAGGTAAGAGAGGCAAAGAAAAGCGCAAACAAAACTTGAAAGAGGCTGCTGGTGACGACAAGGACGCCGAAAAGAACGGTGACGATAAGAAAGATGAAGAAAAGGAGGAGAAAGTGGAGCATGTTCTGGGTGCTGTGCTGGTGCTGAAGGGCCTTAAGGAGACCACGAAGTGGACCAGCATTAAGGACCGACTGGTCGAGCTGGGTGGTGACGTGGCGTTTGTGGACTTTTCGCCGGGCGACCCGGAAGCGTACGCGCGTCTCAAGGCGGCCGGCTCGGCCAAGGATGTGTTCGCCAAAATGGAGGGCGGAAAGGTGGAGATCGACGGCGCTGAGGTGGAGGCACGAGTTCTGGAGGGTGAAGAGGAGGTCAAGTACCTAGATGACCAGCACGAGGCGAGGAAGAACCTACGAAGCCAGTTCAAGCGTAAGGGCAGCCAGCGAGGTCGGGGCCGGGGTAGGGGGCGCGGTGCCAAACGCGGGCGTTTCTAAGGTGGGGTTTATGGGTTGGGTGTCGGAACTCGCAGGTGTTAGCCGACTGAGCGCAGTTCATTTACGTTCCCTGGATCATCCTGCGTGTTTGATGTTGGTGACATTGGTCTCTCGTCGACGCGGATAGCATTTTTACTTTCACCGTTTTCAAATGTGAGCTGAGCGTTGACTTCATCAGCGAAAGTCTTTGTGGAATAAACATCCCAAGAATGAATGTGTTTTAATTCACATACGTCTGTGGAATGATTGTAGAAAAATTTAGAATTTAGGTTTTTACGACCCACTACGACTGCTTTCTTGAGCTTGGGCGAAGTTTTAGGAGATACTGACAAATAATTATCAGAACTTGTTTTTTTTTTTTGTACGTCCCCAACGATGCAACTGTTGTACCAAAGAGAATAACTGACGTTGAAAGTTAACTCCCCGGCAAAGGAGGTTGATGTTCTGCGACGAGGTTTAGCCAGAGTTGGTCTCAGGTCAACTAGTGTCTAGTGAATAGTGATCAACTGAGGTCAGGTCAAAGGCCCCAAGGCAGGGACCCGATATGGTAACTGCAACTGCGAACTTCGGGACGGTCAAGAATGGTCGCAGAACCGCTACTAATTGGGCACCACCATATCCGTCATGCTCAGGCGCGTCAAGTGATATACTTCTTGCTTGAGAGACGTCAAGAAGTATGCCAACCTAAAGCAGTGGTCACTGGTCAGGTCAGAGTGCTCAAGAGTCGAGGTCAGTGAAATCGCCATATTCGAGAACCCGATGACCAACTAAGGTAAGGTAGGGAAGGAGAGGTGTAAGGAGAAGGGTGGTGGAAGAGCCGAATGTTGGCGCTTCCGTCTCGATTAGCCTGGCAGTTATCGAATTGTAGGATGGCTGCTATTGCAAAAACGCTTAGCAGTAGCACACCCTTCAATGTCATCGAGTTTGAGGTCATGCGTGCACATGAAATCATATTATAAACGGCTGATGGAACCGAATACGCAAATCGAATGATGCGTTTTGTCAGTAGCGGCCCGGTAGATGCTGACTGCTGAATTTTATGTGTAGCTTCGATAGGCGAAAATCTCTCACCGGGGCTGATGTGACTAATCGCATATGGCGAATCCACTGATGGCATTTTTGTCGTGCTCAAGGTGTCGTGATCGGCTTGGTAGGGACGCCGGTGAAAACAGGGCGCCGGAGGGCATATTAGTCACGTGACATTTGGAGCTTCTCCCCCTCCGTAGGGCCTTTTACATGCAAAACGTCACGTGTGAGTTTCACGAACCTTGATCAAATCGCCCCAGGCGCCCTGTTTTCACCGTCGTCCCTTGGTAGTTGCTGTAGCTGAGCTTGGGCAGAGCCAAGGCCATGTAAACCTTAGCAAGATGCCTATAAGAAACATAGCTGAGGAAAGGATAGCTGTTCGATAGCTGCCATAAGGAAAAACGTTTTGAGGTCATCAAGTTCGTCTGAGGTCACCAGATTAAAAACGGCTTATATAATGGTACACGACAAATCGATGAGTGGTGCTATCTTTCTGATGTTTATCATGGTTCCTTCGTCATGGGATTGCAACAAATGTGGCAGTCGAAATGTCTAGCTATCTTGTTTACAATTATGGCGCATATGTAACATTTACAAAGGTAAACAAAAACTAACCACGTCTATCAATTCAGCAGCAACGAATATCAGCCTCACAGCAGCATATTTCGGGGTCTTTCGATTTGGCTGAGAATCGGTATACAGGGCCGCCTCGATGCGCTGATTCCGAAAATGTACCTCTTTGGGGTGGTATTATGCACCGTTAACGAGTTAACGGCCATTTAACATTTTAACGGGAAACGGCGGGGTCTTTCGATTTGGCTGAAAATCGGTATACAGGGCCTCCTCGATGCGCTGATTCCGAAAATGTACCTCTTTGGGGTGGTATTTTGCACCGTTAACGAGTTAACGGCCATTTAACATTTAAACGGGAAACGGCGGGGTCTTTCGATTTGGCTGAAAATCGGTATACAGGGCCTCCTCGATGCGCTGATTCCGAAAATGTACCTCTTTGGGGTGGTATTTTGCACCGTTAACGAGTTAACGACCGATTCACATTTTAACGGGAAACGGTGGGGTCTTTCGATTTGGCTAAAAATCGGTATACAGGGCCTCCTTGATGCGCTGATTCCGAAAATGTACCTCTTTGGAGTGGTATTTTGCACCGTTAACGAGTTATCGGCCATTTAACATTTTAACGGGAAACACCCAGTAAACATGCCGACGTCGGCCCGACGTCGGCCGACGTCGGGGTGACGTCGGCAACTCGGCATCAGCATGCCGACGTCGGCCCGACGTCGGTCCAACCTCGGCACGACGTCGGCTGGATGTCGGATATGCCCGCATGTTCCGACGTCCAGCCGAGGTCCAGCCGATGTCGGGCCGACGTCGGACCGAGATCAATTGCTGAGGTCCAGCCGACGTCGGGCCGACGTCGGGGCGACGTCGGACCGACATCGGCCGCTGTTTTGACCGTTAAAATAATATAAAATACATGTTTCATGTTTCATAAAGAGCTTCTGTATTCAAAATATCCTCAGGAAACTCAAATCTTCCTCCACGCCGCAACCCCCTGATCCGGACTGGACGGGAAACTTTATCCCATTTGGGATTGCCCGTAAGACGAGCTCGCCCGTAGCCGGGTGCGGTGAGTGCTTGGGGGCTGCTCGGCCTATCCTTTGGTCAGGCTCAGCCCCGGCAACTCACCAGGGCCGGGCCCAGTTCATATAGAAAGGCCAGTCGGCAAGTGTCACTTTGCCAAAGTGCCACTTATCAAAGGGACACTTTGGGAAACGTTGGTGCAGGTGTGTAAGAGTGGCTATATGAATCCATTGTGGGGTCGCCCTTTCCAATAAGTGTCACGTAACAGCAATGCGACCAGGGACTCTATATGAACTGGACCCAGGGTGCTCGCCAAGAAGACCAATGTCTCCATCCTATGATCCTTCCGGCTCTGAAATGGTCTTGTCAGTGCACGCGAATCTGAATGTGAATATGATGCAACTATATGCACGTAGACCGAAAGGACATAAGCCAACAAAACAAACCAAATTCGTTAGCTGGCTGCGTGGTGTAGTGGTTAGCGCACTAACCTCGCATTCGAATGACACGGGGTTCGAATCCCATCGCCGGCTGATGCTTTTGGCGTGTTGTCCCAGTAAACATGCCGACGTCGGCGACTGGGGGGCTCGAATCCCGCCGCCGGTTGATATTTTTGGCGCGTTGTCCCAATAAACATGCCGACGTCGGCCCCGTCGGTCCAACGACAAACGATCTCGTCAACCTCGGCAAACGATCTCGGCCCGACGTCGGTTCGACGTCGGCTGGACTTCGGCTGGACGTCGGAACATGCGGGCATATCCGACGTCCAGCCGATGTCGGGCCGAGGTTGACCCGACGCTGGGCCGACGTCGGGCCGAGCCTCGGCCCGACGTCGGGCCGACGTCGGCATGTTTACTGGGCAGCGGGGTCTTTCGATTTGGCTGAAAATCGGTATACAGGGCCTCCTCGATGCGCTGATTCCGAAAATGTACCTCTTTGGGGTGGTATTTTGCACCGTTAACGAGTTAACGGCCAGTTAACATTTTAACGGGAAACGGCGGGGTCTTTCGAATTGGCTGAAAACCGGTATACAGGGCCTCCTCGATGCGCTGATTCCGAAAATGTATCTCTCTGGGGTGGTATTTTGCACCGTTAACGAGTTAACGGCCATTTAACATTTTAACAGGAAACGGCGGGGTCTTTCGATTTGGCTGAAAATCGGTATACAGGGCCTCCTCGATGCGCTGATTCCGAAAATGTACCTCTTTGGGGCGGTATTTTGCACCGATAACGAGTTAACGGCCAGTTAACATTTTAACGGGAAACGGCGGGGTCTTTCGAATTGGCTGAAAATCTGTATACAGGGCCTCCTCGATGCGCTGATTCCGAAAATGTACGTCTTTGGGGTGGTATTTTGCACCGTTAACGAGTTAACGGCCATTTAACATTTTAACGGGAAACAGCGGGGTCTTTCGATTTGGCTGAAAATCGGTGTCCAGGGCCTTCTCGATGCGCTGATTCCGAAAATGTACCTCTTTGGGGTGGTATTTTGCACCGTTAACGAGTTAACGACCAATTAACACTAACGGGAAACGGCGGGGTCTTTCGATTTCGCTGAAAATCGGTATACCGGGCCTCCTCGATGCGCTGATTCCGAAAATGTACCTCTTTGGGGTGGTATTTTGCACCGTTAACGAGTGAACGACCAATTAGCATTTTAACGGGCATCGGCGTGGTCTTTCGATTTGGCTCAAAATCGGTATACAGGGCCTCCTCGATGCGCTGATTCCGAAAATGTACCTCTTTTGGGTGGTATTTTGCACCGTTAACGAGTTAACGGCTTGTAACAGAGTACAAATGTTTGGTTCTTTGTCGCCAAGCCGCCCTCCGCCGTGCGTCCGTGGGTATGTGTGTCGGAGTTTGCATCTCCTCTGTCCGTTGCCATGGCGACGCCGCGCGACGCGGCGCGGCGAGAGACGCGGCGGGAAGGCAGTCGAGCTTGGGAACCCGCGGGGGAATGTTGTCGCGGTTTAAGTGGCAATACAGTTTTTTGCCGTTAATCGAGACTCTCGAGCTGGAAACCGGAAAGTACACGCGACCGGTAACAGGCTATTTAACATTTTAACGGGAAACGGCGAGGAGGCCCTGTATATCGGTTTTCAGCCAAATCGAAAGACCCTGCCGTTTCCCGTTAAAATGTTTATTGCACTCGTTAACGGTGCAAAATACCACCTCAAAGAGGCACATTTTCGGTATCAGCGCATCGAGGAGGCCCTGTATACCGATTTTCAGCCAAATCGAGACCCCGCCGTTTCCCGTTAAAATGTTAACTGGCCGTTAACTCGTTAAGGGTGCAAAATACCACCCCAAAGAGGTACATTTTCGGAATCAGCGCATCGAGGAGGCCCTGTATACCGATTTTCAGCCAAATCGAAAGACTCCAAAAATTTGCTGCCGAAACCCAGCTAACAATTTGCCGTTGTTACAACGTCGTTTAAACGTTGTTAAATGGTTACCACAACGTCCCGATTTATCGTTGTGACAACGTAATTTTGTAGACTCCAGACAACGGCGTGACAACGTCATCCGACCATGCATTTGAATGTCATCACAACGTTTCTGTAACGTGACCGTGACGTCCCAAAACTGTTCTTACAACGTCCCGCCAACGTTATGAAATGTTTTCTGTAACGTACCAACAGTGTTTCTGGAACGTTGTCACCACGTTTCCGCAACGTGACTACAAGGAGTATAGAACGCTTTGGCAACGTCTCTGCGACGTTTTTATCACGTGCGCACCACGTTGTCGCTACTTCGTATTGCCGTCCCTGCGACCCTGAGTAAACGTCCTAAACATTTTCGCAACGCCCTCTCAACGTGTTCGCAACATACTCAGAATGTGTTTCCGACGCTCTCTTCCCGTTCTCTAGACTTGTAAAAAAAGGCATGTAAGAAGTGTATATTTCAATACATCATACAGGTCAATTTACAAAAAAAAAAAAAAAAAAAACGGCGGCGGCATCGGTGGTGGGGCATGGGGCCCAGGGGCGCCCCCATGGGGGCGTGGGACGGAATTGGGTTCTACCGGCTCTGGCGCTAGCCGCTAGCACGCCAGAACTGATGGAAGTTCACTTCTTCACTAACCCTCGCTGGGAGGATCACTCGGCGGACCGTTAGGCACCGGCTCATTTGCGGCCTCGATGTCCCTAGGCAGCTGGCGGTGCCTGACTAGACGGTCTGCGCACCCCCCGTTCCGGTCGCAGCTTCCGGACAGCCACTTCGCTACCGCATTGCCGACAGTAGGCCTGCCACAAGGCGCGCTGACGAGTTGCAGGACGTCTGCGGGAAGACATGAGGGAAAATCAGACATTCAATTCATGAAAAAATCACAAAAATACCTGCACCACTTTCCGTAACAGTGCGACAGGCTAGATCAAACATGTCAACACCTTACAGGCTAGAGCTACAATGAACTATAGCCTCGACCGCACGATATTACAAGGCACAATCTTGCAAATGCTACTCGTAAATGGTACTTTGACTTACCAGTCAAAGCAACAATCGCATCAAACGCAGACGACTGGCGCTATCTTTCATCTTCCAGCTATCTCGGCCGCGCCCGCCGCCGGCCCTCACTGCTCGCTCGCGCCGCGTAGACTCACGGTACATAGAATACTAGGTAACACCGGTTTGTCCGCTCAACACAGTGCCAATGGTCACCACTTTCTTCAGCTGACGTCTGTGACCTTGAGCTGACCTAGGATGATAAACAGCTGACAATTTAGGCCATTTGGAACTCACTTGACAGCTGAAGAGCGTGATTTAAAATATAAATATTTGTCAGACACTGACAAAAGATATTATTCACCAGTCATTTTTTAAGCACATTCTGTCATAAATTAGCTGACTCCCTCTGATCTTCCACACGGTAGAAAATGCAAGTGCAGATTCTGCAGTCTTGAAGTGAACCAAACGATTATGATACACATGATCGTTTCTCTCAGAGCACAACGGCAACTGCGAGAAAACAAGAGAGAGTCGGACTCTACAAATGAATGAATTTGAAAGAAAAATAGCTGTAATTTTTCCTGTGGAAATGTTGACTTTGAATACATTGGCCATCAACTTTAAAAATGCCCTGAAATATGAAAATATGTGAATTGGCAAAACAGGCAATCTTGCTGTTTTTGCCCAAGTTTGTTCATGATTTGGAGAGATTCGATGCGAAAATGCACTGATAAATACTTTTGGAAGCGCGGTCTCGATCAGTGTATTAATTTTGATTTTTAATGTAACGCGAGTCCCACTTTTTCCTCCAAGAAAATATATTTGTCAATTTTTCAATAGTTCTTTTATGCGTCATTGCTTTAAAAATAAAGAGAGTCGGACCGTAATTCTTTCAAAATGACTGATCGTGCTCAATATCTATCGGAATATATCAACAGATTGGCCAGACTCATTGGCTAAATATGTTTAAATTGCATTTTTCTTACTTTCTGCAGATTTTCCAGCAAAATTTTGCTGTAGTTTAAGCTGCGTTTCCTGCAGATTGTGTTCACGGACCAATGGGAGACAAGTATTTCTTCATCAACAGGTTTTTTTCGCCATCAATTGGTCTAGCGGGTGTTTTTCGTACGCGCAGCTTATGTCACAGCTGCGTAAGAACACGTTCGCTTTAAATTATTACGGATATTTCTTTTCGGAATATCAATATTCAAAGGTCAATGTGTTTCATAAGATTTGTGGGGGCGGGATTATCGTCATTAACTAATTACTTGATGTCATATTTTAATGGGGAGTGGTGTAGTGCCCGCACGACTGTTGACTTTCATTCAACTCACCTGTTGTAATTGTAATTGCTTGAGCTGGTTCCTGGGCCGCCTCAGACAGCAAGATGGTGTGTCAAGTATCATGGCCTGACAGGAAGGTGGGTACCCCAACCCAGAGTCCTAGCTCAATATTAATCTCAGATGAAGCCCATATATGTATATGTCTCAGAGCTTGTTTAAGTTTAAACCTCACCTACGTATAGCCTAACATAACCTGAAATAACCAGACACGCTAAAACCCTTATTTTGGTCAAATGCTGATGAGCAGAAAAATATTAACTTTTTGATGATTTGCAATGCCTACCTATGTCTGGACGAGGGTTTGTTGGTTTCTGTGTAGATAAACTATGGTGAAGATAAAAAACATAATCTACCCTAGCCGTACCTCACGTACTAACCTACAACTTTTGGTAAATGTTCAGAAAGAGTCTGATTCACTTTTCAGGCATACATTTTGTACATTCTTACACTATTTGACATCTTGAATCCAGATATGATATTTACATGTGATACAAATACAAAACAAAAATCAAACCTTACCTAACCCCATGTTGCATATTCATATGAACTGCAGATCAGATATTTTTTGAACAAATACCCATCTTTCATCCTTTCAGCATACCTACAACCTACTAAACAGCCTTGGTATCAACCTACCATTCATACTTTATCTACACATACATATTGATATATGAGGTATGTTTTGTTCAGTAGGTTATAGTAGGTCAGGTGCCTACATGCTATCATTTGTCATGCTTTGCTTTCAGGTGGTGTCTTGTGGGCTTTATAGTGGGCTTTGTGGCCCTCTCAAGTGCAAGGGTTAAGTGTTGATGCACATAATGCAATGTGTTTTTTTTTCCATTGGCGCAGGAACCTCATGTAAAGTGTGTGTGTGGGGGGGGGGGGGCGGCAGAGAACTTCAATGTCACTTTGTGTCACTTCAATGTCGACTCCAATACCCCTATGAACAAATTCTTTGCAGTTTCGTGCTCATCTCACCTTGCCGAACCATTTCTTGCTCTTAGTTTTGAATTTAAATGAAAAATAAATATTTTACTTTAAAAATAAGCACAGCTGAAAAGTGGGGGCATGCCCCCCCCCCCCGCTCCTATGCCTGTTTTTTTCTTAATGGTACAAATCATCCAGATTCATATGAGAAGGGTAGGTGGCTACCTACAAAACCAAACCAATGCCTCAATTGTTTATTGTTTTCTTACAATAAGTCCCTCCTCTGCCAATCGCACTAAACTATCTACTGTCACCACAATGCAGTGTGCGTCATGATTTCTCAACTCTATGCATACAATATATTTCCATTTGTCAATCACATATTGTTTTTTTTTACAGGCTTTCCGGTTATGACTGAGGCCAGCATCTCACGTGTCCTGGCTACGCCAAATCACTGCGGATGCCGGATGCCGAGGACCGGAGAGCCAACCGCTTTGAGGCGTGAGCTCTGTGGCGTGGCTCGAGTGACCACCAGCTTCTGACGGCTACGGCGCCGTCGACCTGGTTGAATAGCTGGGGCCTGGACGAGGGTACCCTTAGTACGGTGACCAATCGGTTACGTCCGAGGGGCGCTCGAACACGCTGCCGTTGCGTGGCTGCCGGCGGCCGCCCCTCGCACGTGAATCTCCTGGAGCGAGGACTGCGAGAGGCGGCCGCATCATCACCTGTGTCCGCGCTTAACACCGTGCCACGCACTAATGGCGGAAGCCCGACTTACTCCTATGGAGGAGCGAAGCTGGACGCTGGCTGCCAGGCTGCTGGGGAGGGCGCTGGGTCTGCCATCAGGGGACCCCCTGCGCGCGACCGCCGAGGCCTCGGCACCGGCGCGCCTGTCTTCGGTCCGAGGCTGGAGATTGCGAGGCCGCCAGGCCTGGGCGAGAGCGAGAATCCCACCGTGGCAACAGACGGCTGGCGGCATTTTCCGGTTGGACGTGTGCCCAATACGGGCTGGGGCCACGGCGGCGGAAAGGGAAAGCGTGGCTACGCTTCACCTCGCGTTCCTGCCCCTGTGTGCTGTCCGGCTTTGGACGGACGGATCTGCGGAGGGCGGAGTCTTCAGGCGCTGGGCGGGAGCCGTGCTGGTCTGACTGGACGAAGAGGCCGAGGAACTGCGGGCCCCGGCCGGAGAGCTGTGCTATAGCTACCGCGCGGAGATGGTGGCGCTGTTGACCGGTCCGGAGACCCTACTCGGAAGAGACAGAGACCAGGACCTGCGGTCCGTACCTATCTGCTAACTGTGCGGTGGTGCTGGTGTAGTGCAGCATCTTTGGATGGATAGCTACATTTCACGATTAAATAGCTGTTACGTTTCTGACATTGTTCTGACATTGACATTTTTCTTTCTTTCGTTTGATAATGGTCTGTTGGCCGAAATATCACGTAAATAAAAAGGTAACTTTGCATTAATTTTGCTATAGACTCGAGAAATAAGGGCAATGTTTTTCTTTCATATAACTGTATCAATCATGTTCCTCGCCAGAGCACTGGCAAACATTAATGCTGTTACGTTTCAGTGCAGGCGGCGTGACGAACAATGTGGTAGTTATCTGTTGGCCACTTCTGCGGCCGCTGCTATTTCCTACTCGAAGGCGGGCGCGCTGTTTGGCTGGGCCGGCAGGATGTTCCCATTATGTGTCGACGACAAAGCGAGTATATTCATGTTCTTTTAATGCACAGTGGTCTGTTGTATATTTGAAGTTTTATTTTAGGTTCACGATTGCGAAGGGCAGATTCATCTTCTCTCTTTCATTTTTGTTGCCACTTTAGCGTTCATGTTTGTTATAAGTGTCCTGGTCCGGCTTGATTGTCATCTTTATTCGTGGTATATTTTATTTTACGAACATGCTGGTGATCAATGCAATACACTTTTGGTTAATAATGCTGCTTTAGCTCTGATCCTTTGTGGGATGTCTTGATTGTACTACTGCGATAGTGATTTTTCCTCACCAAAATATGCAGGCAACAAATGTAAATGCTGCCAAATGTTTGTCATTGCGTGATGTATCTAAAAGACATCAAGTTCCTGTACGTGGTCGTGTACTACGCAACCGGAAACTCAATAGGACGTGGAATGCTGTGAAACAAAACTACAGAAGTGAGGCTGGCCACGCCAAAATCAAATGAGATATGTCTAGCCTTTCTTCAGCCGCCAAGGCTTCGACAGACTATCCCCGGGTTCGGTGTCTCGAACTACGAAGATTCAACGTCGTCCGGCCAATCCTGGTTAAGGTCAGCGGGGACTTAGCTGTGGTTATGGAACAGGATTGGCCGTCCGAGAGACTCCGAATCTGGGGTATGTTGCAGCACAGCTAACTATGTCGACCGAGTGCGTCGCAAGCTGCCCCACTCGACGAGAAAAAGTAAAACCGTCCCGTCCTAGGCTGACTAGGCTTAGCTAGGTGGCAGCACAGTCGCGCCGGCAGGGGGCAGTGCCACAACCAGCCGACTGATATTTTCGTGTGACGTCAGAACCGGTGCCTCCCTGCGTAGACTGCGGCTCGGCCGGCTGGCTCTGAACGCCGGCCGGTGACACTGACGTCACGGCCCCTCAGGCGAGGTCAGGGCGCGAGCCACCGTTCGCCTGAGTGGCGGCCCGCGTGGCTTGCTGGCAGCCGCGGATAACAGCCGCGTTTACATAGGGATAGTTGCAAGCCTCTAGCTCCGCCTGTGATGTTGTAAAACATGCCAATGACGCTTTGCAATTTACACATGTTATATATATATATATATATATATATATATATATATATATATATATATATATATATATATATATATATATATATATATATATATATATATATATATATATATATATATATATATATATATATATATATATATATATATATATATATATATATATATATATATATATATATATTAGAGAGATAGAGAGAGAAAGGTATCAGAATTTACTTGTAAAAACACCGCTAATTATTCAGTACCTATAATGTCAAGGTTGTGAAAAACCGTTTTAACAACGTGTTGGCGACCACCAGCTGACAACGTGAACAGTCCAAGTGTTAAAATATGTCAAATTTAACGATGAAAACTGAATATGCGCATTGAAAGTCAAAGGAAATGCATTATATGGCCATATATGTCACCATGCATCAGGGGCGGATCCAAGGGGGGGGGGTCACATGGGTCATGGCCCCCCCCTTGAGGCCCGGAGGCCCAAAGACCTTCCAGGGGCACCACCGGCCTATCAGGGGTATCACAGTCCTGACAGGGGCACCACAGGCCTAGCAGGGACACCACGGGCCTGGTGCCCCTGGGCCCTGACAGGACTGTAACGCCCCTGACAAGCCTGAAGTGTCCCCGGCAGGCACGTGGTGCCCCTGACAGGCCTGAGGCGCCCCTGCAAGGCCGGTGGTGCCCCTGGCAGGCCTGTGGTGTCCATGGCAGGCCTGTGGTGCCCTTGCTAGGCCTCTGGTGCCCCTGACAGGCTTGTAATGCCCCTGGAAGGACTGTGGTGCCCCTGGGCCCTGACAAGCCTGAGGTGCCCCTGACAGGCCAGAGGTGCCCTTGCTAGGCCTGTGGTGCCCCTGGCAGGCCTCTGGTGCCCCTGACAGGCTTGCGGTGCCCTTGGAAGGACTGTGGTGTCCCTGGGCCCTGACAAGCCTGAGGTGCCCCTGACAGGCCCGTGGTGCCCTTGTTAGGCCTGTGGTGCCCCTGGCAGGCCTCTGGTGCCCTTGCTAGGCCGCTGGTGCCCCTGGCAGGCCTCTGGTGCCCTTGCTAGGCCGCTGGTGCCCCTGGCAGGCCTCTGGTGCCCCTGCGCCCGGAGAGGACTGGTGCCCCTGAAAAGTCTGAAGTGCCCCTCGGCAGGCCCGTCGTGCCCCTGACAGGCCCAAGGTGCCCCTGCGAGGCCGGTGGTGCCCCTGGCAGGCCTCTGGTGCCCCTGGCAGGTCTGTGGTGCCCCTGGCAGGTCTGTGGCGCCCCTGGCAGACCTGTGTTGACTGGTGCCCCTGCTAGGTCGCTGGTGCCCCTCACAGACCTGTGGTGCCGCTGGGCCTTGACAAGCCTGAGATGCCTGGCTATGACAGGCTCGTGGTGCCCCTGATAGACCAGTGGTGCCCTTGCTAGGCCTGTAGTGCCCCTGGCAGGCCTCTGGTGCCCCTGCTACCCCTGCGCCCTGAGAGGACTATGGTGCCCCTGAAAAGCCTGAAGTGCCTCTCGACAGGCCCGTGGTGCCCCTGGGCCCTGACAGGCCCAAGTTACCCCTGCGAGGTCGGTGGTGCTCCTGGCAGGCCTCTGGTGCCCCTGGCAGGTCTGTGGTGCCCCTGGCAGGCCTGTGTTGACTGGTGCCCCTGCTAGGCCGCTGGTGCCCCTCACAGGCCTGCGGTGCCCCTGGAAGGACTGTGGTGCCCCTGCCCCTAGGGGTGCTCATGGGCCCAACAGGCCCGTTGTGCCCCTGACAGGCCTGCCGTGTATACTTGCTAGACCTGTGGTGCCCCTGCTTCCTGGCAGGCCTGTGGTGCCCCTGGCGGGCCTGTGGCGCCCCTACAAGGCCGTAGGTGCCCCTGACAGGTTTGTGGTGTCCCTGGAAGGACTTTGGTGCCCCTGACAAGCCTGAAGTGTCAAGGACAGACCCTTTAGACGCCAGGGTCAAGTTCGTCGGACTGACAACGATTTGCTTACCTGATAACGTTCCTGGTAAGTACTCATTACTCAGCGTCCACAACATATATACACATAGCACATTCATATATACTTGCTTACAATTGGTAAATGTGGTTGTGGCTAAGAGGTAAGATACTGACTAAAAATAAAAAATAAAAATAAAAAACTGAAAATGGGGGCACCACCAAAATGAAGTGGACGAAATCCGTTGAGTTTTTAATTTTGGGTATAGGTAGGGGCACCACTTCGATTCATGACCCTCCCCTTGGAGTTTTCCTGGATCCGCCCCTGCCATGCATTATCAAAATATAATGCTGCAAGTGTGCAGTTGCTGCAACGTACCAATAAAACGTTGTCACGACGTTTTACCACGACTTTCGGACCAAACCATGGCTTCACAACGTTCAGAACGTTGCTACAACGTAATTAAAACGTAATTTCGCAACTTACCGAAACACGACGTTGTGACAACGTTGTAGTAACGTTTCCTGTTAGCTGGGAATCGATTATGCTGCTGAAATGTTAACGGTTCGTTAACTCGTTAACGGTGCAAAATACCACCCCAAAGAGGCACATTTTCGGAATCAGCGCATCGAGGAGGCCCTGTGTACCGATTTTCAGCCAAATCGAAAGACCCCGCCGTTTCCCGTTTAAATGTTAAATGGCCGTTAACTCGTTAACGTTGCAAAATACCACCCAAAGAGGTACATTTTCGGAAGCAGCGCATCGAGGAGGCCCGGTATACCGATTTTCAGCCAAATCGAAAGACCCCGCCGTTTCCCGTTAAAATGTTAAATGGCCGTTAACTCGTTAACGGTGCAAAATACCACCCCAAAGAGGTACATTTTCGGAATCAGCGCATCGAGGACGCCCGGTATACCGATTTTCAGCCAAATCGAAAGACTCCAAAAATTTGCTGCCGAAATCGATATATGCTGCTGAAATGTTAACGGTTCGTGAACTCGTTAACGGTGCAAAATACCACCCCAAAGAGGCACATTTTCGGAATCAGCGCATCGAGGAGGCCCTGTGTACCGATTTTCAGCCAAATCGAAAGACCCCGCCGTTTCCCGTTTAAATGTTAAATGGCCGTTAACTCGTTAACGTTGCAAAATACCACCCAAAGAGGTACATTTTCGGAAGCAGCGCATCGAGGAGGCCCGGTATACCGATTTTCAGCCAAATCGAAAGACCCCGCCGTTTCCCGTTGAAATGTTAAATGGCCGTTAACTCGTTAAAGGAAGACTGCCACCTTCAAAAAGTTTTCTCAGATCGGCCTATGATTTATTCCCTGGACAAAACAAAATTTTAGAATTCACCTGACAAAGTATCATCACGTGAATCGCGAAAAAAATTGTCGATTATCATACAATTATCAATCGGTTAATGTCTAGCGACAATGTTTACACATCACTAGACTTCAAGGTCATAAGATTATTACATTTTATTTGAAAAAGTAAGGTATTTTATGATTTACTAATATATGATTTCATAAGAAATTGGCCATGTTTAATTTATTTTGCATTTAAGTTCGTAAAACATTTAAAAATCATGGCTCATTTGGAATGGGTCTGGCCCATGTTAAACCCAATTTCCCACACTTTTTTGGAAAAAATGAACTACTGAATGTATAAGTTTAACTTTTATTTTGACACTCCAAAATTCTTCTCTGATCTCGAAACAATCAAAGTTTTGACATATATTTACCAAAAGATAAGAAAATTCATGTTTCAAAGTTATCGATTAACAGTAGAGATGTCGGTTTTCTTGGACTAAAAAAATGGCATCAAACTGAACTTTGGTCTCCGATTTCTCGCAAACGGGTTCGAATTTCGGAAAGCCGACTTCAGTCTGGGACATAGGTGGCTCAGCTCTAGTGAAAACCGTTTTGTGGAAAAAAGGTGGCAGTCTACCTTTAACGGTGCAAAATACCACCCCAAAGAGGTACATTTTCGGAATCAGCGCATCGAGGAGGCCCGGTATACCAATTTTCAGCCAAATCGAAAGACCCCGCCGTTTCCCGTTAAAATGTTAAATGGCCGTTAACTCGTTAACAGTGCAAAATACCACCCCAAAGAGGTACATTTTCGGAATCAGCGCATCAAGGAGGCCCTGGATACCAATTTTCAGCCAAATCGAAAGAACCCGCCGTTTCCCGTTAAAATGTTAACTGGCCGTTAACTCGTAAACGGTGCAAAATACCACCCCAAAGACGTACATTTTCGGAATCAGCGCATCGAGGAGGCCCTGTATACCGATTTTCAGCCAAATCGAAAGACCCCGCTGTTTCCCGTTAAAATGTTAAATGGCCGATAACTCGTTAACGGTGCAGAATACCACCCCAGAGAGGTACATTTTCGGTATCAGCGCATCGAGGAGGCCCTGGATACCAATCTTCAGCCAAATCGAAAGACCCCGCCGTTTCCCGTTAACATGTTAAATGGCCGTTAACTCGTTAACGGTGCAAAATAAAACCCCAAAGACGTACATTTTCGGAATCAGCGCATCGAGGAGGCCCTGTATACCGATTTTCAGCCAAATCGAAAGACCCCGCTGTTTCCCGTTAAAATGTTAACTGGCCGTTAACTCGTTAACGGTGCAAAATACCACCCCAAAGAGGTACATTTTCGGAATCAGCGCATCGAGGAGGCCCTGTATACCGATTTTCAGCCAAATAGAAAGACCCCGCCGTTTCCCGTTAAAATGTTAAATAGCCGTTAACTCGTTAACGGCAGTGGCGGCGCCACGAATTTTCGCCAGTGGGGGCAAGCTTGAGGTGACCCGACTGTTGTCTGATACGCCAATCTGCAAAATCCATGAGCAACTTGCCCCTAGATGTTGCCATTCAAAATTATTATGGTACTCATGTGACCTCGAATGACCTTTGGTTGACTTTGACCAGGCGCGGATACAAGGGGGGGGGGGCCATGGGGGCCATGGCCCCCCCTTGGCCGATTTTTTTCAAAAATAAAATAAAAAGTTAAAAAGCTGAAAAGGGGGCCTCCTGAAAATAAAGTGGCCGAAATCCGATGAGTTTTTTTAACCTACCCACTTAGTTATTTCTTAGAAGACTAGCTGAGAAGACTTCTTTGTTAGAAGATTGGTAAAGCTTTTCATAACTTGGAGGTCTCTTATACTCACAGAGATGACCACTTTTACAGGGCCTCCTAACCTGCACAGAGGGCCTCCAAGCCTGCACAGATGTCCTAACAAACACAAAATCTCTTAGCCTACACAGAGGCCTCCACTCGCATCCGAACAAAGGGCCTCCTAGCCAACACAGAGGGTCTCCTAACTCACACAGAAGGTCTCCTATCCTGCACAGAGGGACTCCAAGCTTGCACAGATATCCTCTTCGCCAACACAGGACCTCTTAATCTCCACAGAGGGCCTCCACTCGCATCCACTGAACAGCTAGATAAGCTCAATAGACGCAGTTTTTTTTGGGGGGGGGGCCCAACAAGTGGGAAGATGGGGCCTCCAACAGGTGGGGGGCCTCCTGGTTTCTAATGGCCCCTCCCTTGGAGATTTTCTGGATCCGCCCCTGACTTTGACACATGAAAAGTCCTTTGTGATGATTTCGTAGCCACTGATCACGATTCTGGCATCCATTTTGCTCTAGTCTAAGCATTCATTTAAATGATGGGAAACATGTCTTAATTAGGTACTAGATGCCGGCAGCGCTCTTGCGTTGCCTTGGGCCAGAATTGGATGAACGGAGCTGAGGGCACACACCGGGCAAAAAAACCACCGAAACCCAGACTGAGCTCGGACTGAACCTGAAACCAACCGAAACATCCCAAAAATGCTTGAAAGCACGTGAGATGGGTGTCCCATAAGTTCGTTTTCACCTAAATGTTACGTTTATAGGCTCTCTTGCTTAAAGGCACGCTGGAATTGGTTCGTAACTGAGCTTACGTGGTTGCCATGGCTGGTAGCAATATGCTCCACAGTAACTAATTTCTGTAGACAAAATAGCTTTTGCTAGAGAGCCCGCTTCCTACAGAGACGGCTAACGCCGCAACATAGAGGTCTCCGATACGGGTGCGTCTTGGTATTTAGTCAGCACGTGACCATTCTCGACGATTAAGGGTGATTGAGGCCTACCAGTCTGTACCCAATGTCCATCGCTAACTGGACGCACAGTCAGCAAGTGACGCCGATGATTTGTCGGGAGTCAATCACGGTGAATGAACATGAGTAGGAGAATGAGTGGGAGTAGGAGATATGCGACAGACGGTCCGAGAACGAACGTTTTGCTGATGCACTTGATACGGGGACCGTCAAAAACAGGCGTACTATTATAACCGCTTATCATGAATGTTGCACTGGTCTTCTGTTCCCTTTTCAACATCAGCCAAATTTTGTGGGGGCAAAAACATAGTCTTGCCCCCACGGCCTCCTACCAGTGGGGGCAGTCTGCCCCCACTGCCCCCACGGTGGCGCCGCCCTTGGTTAACGGTGCAAAATACCACCCCAGAGAGGTACATTTTCGGAATCAGCGCATCGAGGAGGCCCTGTATACCGATTTTCAGCCAAATAGAAAGACCCCGCCGTTTCCCGTTAAAATGTTAAATAGCCGTTAACTCGTTAACGGTGCAAAATACCACCCCAGAGAGGTACATTTTCGGAATCAGCGTATCGAGGAGGCCCTGTATACCGATTTTCAGCCAATTCGAAAGACCCCGCTGTTTCCCGTTAAAATGTTAACTGGCCGTTAACTCGTTAACGGTGCAAAATACCACCCCAAAGAGGTACATTTTCGGAATCAGCGCATCGAGGAGGCCCTGTATACCGATTTTCAGCCAAATCGAAAGACCCCGCTGTTTCCCGTTAAAATGTTAAATGGCCGATAACTCGTTAACGGTGCAAAATACCACCCCAGAGAGGTACATTTTCGGAATCAGCGCATCGAGGAGGCCCTGTATACCGATTTTCAGCCAAATCGAAAGACCCCGAAATATGCTGCTGTGAGGCTGATATTCGTTGCTGCTGAATTGATAGACGTAAACTAACCCTGCGTTCCATATGCGTTCGATGTCTCTCGGACGGCAAAGAGTCTTCGTCGTTCGGCCAATCCCGTTCAAGGTTAGCGGGAGCTCGGCTGCGGTTATGGAGCATGATTGGCCGGACGACGTAGAATCTTCGCCGTCCGAGAGACATCGAACGCGGGGTAAAAAAGTGGCTTATATTTCTGTAGTTTTCCGTCAGCAGTGAAGAGGTTGTCGGGTGGGTAGCTCGGTTTTTAGCTGGTTTTCTTATTTATCTTTCAATTTACCTGATCCAATTTTCACTGGATATCATTTTCACATGTCAGTATGCCTTTTTGTGTTTCATTGCCTTTGTTTAAACTTGCGTGTTTCTTCAGTGAAAGGCGATGATCATAACGTGATTTGATGTGAGGCGTACAGAACTGAGAACGCTGAGGACTGTTCACACCTCACGGGCACCGCACAGTGCACACTGCTGAGTGTGGTGTGTGCGGTGTGTGCTGCAGGCTTGGGGTAGGGGATGGGTAGTCGTTATGATGTCACATGGCTGCGTGTGTTGGACCTCACACAGCCAACGCTGTGGCCAGTCCCGACCGGCCACAGCGGTCGGTCACTGTATGAGGTAACCGAAGGCTGACGTAGGGATGCGGATGGCGGAGCTTGGAGGCTGTAGTGTGTACGATTCAACCTCACTCACGAGAACGCTCACATGAACAGCCCTCTGATTTGATTCAAACATACTGTCCTATCTGGTCATAAGTTTTCTATTTTGTCATGCATATTTTTTATCCTGCACAGGGGCGCGGGAACTACTTTCCGACTGGGGGGCACACCATAATAGAGATCAACCTAGGGTACCCCCAAATCTAGTTTTCTCACCGGTTTTAGGCCACTTATTTTTCACCCCTCGGCTTTTCCAACAAAAAAAGAAAACATTTGCAAAAAAAAGTGTGGGATTCCGTCTCAAAGCTGTGGGGGCACCGCCCCCACGGCCCCAGAGTTGGGGGGGGGGGCAAGCTGCCCCCACTGCCCCCCGGCTCCCGCGCCTATGATCCTGCATCAATTATTTCTGATAAACAAAAAGTTATTTTTCATGTTGATGCTGTTTATGTGACTTAGCTCTGTGTCCCACATTTTCCTTTTTCACTTGCTCATCCTGCCCAATGTACCTATTGTCATTTGTCTGTTATCAAAATGTGCCTACTGATTATCCAGTCATTGTTAATCAAGCATTGCACTTCTGTGACTGTGTGTATGGCTGAAGGTACTGCAATGGATTGTGCCTTTGGATTTGAGCTACTATTTCACAAACATACTATCAATGCAGTGTTTTTCATTGCTGATAGGGATTAAACTGGGAGAGCAGAATGATGATACATGATACATTACCTACCTACCAAATTTTGATCTCCATATGAAGATTCAGATGGGGAGGCTCAAATCAGAAGTCAGAACACCACCAGGTGGCCAATTTCAGATGCTGACACAGGTTGATGCAGGTTCTTAGATGCTCTGACATAACATCTGATGGATCAGTATGGGCCTTCAATAGCTGACTGATTCTCAAAAGCTTGGTAGGGTGCCCTTAAATGGGTGTAAAGGATGTCAATTCCATGCCAATTGGGTTATGAAGGCCCATGTGGGGCTTTGACTTTGGGTCAAAGGGGACCAGCATGGGTTCAAATGGCAGTTATGGGAGTTCTCAAAACCTGTGGGGCTTTCAAAAGCCAGTATTGCTGACCTTGGCCCTCAGGCTCAAGATCCTGTATGGAACCATCACAGATTGACCTCAGTTGCTGGTGAGCTGGCTCTCAACAATCAGAGTAGGATGCTCAGAAGTCAGCATAGACCCATCAAAGGCAAAATTGGCCCAGAAAAGGTTATGCAGGCATGGGCTTTAGGCATTAGAATTCATGGGCTTTAGGCATTAGAATTTAGACCCACATGAGTGAGTGAATGCCCATAGAGATGGTATGGTGTGGGACCCTCAAAAACCTGCTTGGGACCTTGGGTGCCAGTGTAGGGCTGTTGGAGGATGACAGATGCAGTGTTCTCAGAAGCCGCCATGTGCTCTCAGAGGTTGATATGATGCCTGGAGAGGCCACTGTGACTCAGCCTTTATGGGGCTCTCAGAGCCAGGAGTGAGCCCTCAGCAGTTTGAGCCTGCCCTCAGCTGTCAGTGTGGGGCCCATTATAGGTTGTTATGGTACCAACAGAGATCAGTGTGGGCCCTTCATAAGACTCATTTGGGGTCCCCGAAGATCGGTGTAGAAACCGGGAGGTCGATGTAGAAACCGGGAGATCGGTGTAGAAACCGCACGCGGACCATTGAGCCCTAGATGGGCGATCCACACGGGGCACAAGGTAAGGTCTCTCTTTGCGCGCATGGACACGCAAACTCCACACTTTAATTTCAGTTCCCAATTTTGCGGTCACTCGTTCATGTAGGCCTACAGAACTTCTTTTTACAGAAAAGGACGCCTTCACTGTGCGTACCTCGAACATACTCGTAATACAAGTACTTAAGCCATCGTTAAGGTTTGGTGGTTGGGCCATTAGAGATCATTGACCAAGAATAGTCGGTCATCTTTCCCGATTATTTCAAGAGTCCAAAAATATTCTGCTAAAATGTTCTTACTCTTTCACACTGACACGAGCCAAAGGATATTTAACGTGCATTTAACAAGCAATGGCTATTTTATGGCCATATCGGGAGTAAGTTATCATATTTGGCCTCAGGCCAACAGCTCAGCCGCCAAAGGTTGTAAAAGGCCAAAATCACTAAGTTGAAATGAAAGCTTGAACGTATGCAAAGCTCTATGGCCTCTACCCCCACTGAATGACTCTGATAACCTAAACAGCATATCGTAAAATGTATATAGAAGTATTTTGTGGTGTCGGAACTCGGAAGTCAACCTGGCCGCCCAGTAAAAATTCCTTAGCTGAGCCGCTAACCAGAGCCCTTCCTAAGCGGAGCCTGCTGCGTAGTTTCTAAATTCTATCGTCTTATCCCATAGAGAATTTCTGGCCTCTGGGTGCACCACAGAGGTGCATCCGTCAACATGATTCCTCTAGATACAAAGGTGCCGAAAACGCCGATGCTGCGCTCCAGATGCTGCCGTTATCTGTATCAGGCAGTTGAACCGCACGCCGTGTGACTCCTCTGTCGCCAGGCGCCGTGGTGTGAGCGCCGTGTGTGTGTGCCGACGGCCGACGGTATCTCTCTGATGATACCGGCGGCCTATCGGGCGCCGACCGGCCGACTGCCATGAGTGGGTCCGGCGGCGGCGGCGGCGGCTCGCCGGCCGCGGACCAGGAGTCGGCGCCGCGCTGGGCGGAAGCGGCGCTGCGCGGCTACCAGCGGCAGATCGGAGCGCTCGAGATGCCTGAGTGGGAACAGACGGTGGAGCGCCGCCGCGCCCGCGGATACGGCGGTGCGCCGCGCAAGTCGGCCAAGCCGGCCACCGGTCTCATCGACCTCGACTTGATCAGAGGTGAGGGGCTCCTAGCGGAATGGAGGCCGAGTTGGGGCAGGGCTTTGAGAGACCCTGCATGAGCCATAGAGTAGTGTAATTGGTGGCTTATATCGGTTTCGGCTTCACTTTACCAGCTGTCTTTTTATGCGTTTTGGTAGCCCATGCATGTTTTTCATGCGCTGGTGGAGTGTTGTAACTTAGTTGTCACCTTGTCAGTGCCATTTTTCTACGCCAGCGATTCAGAATTGCGTAACGATGATATTGTGATGCTTCACTGTACTCGGGTAATTTGCTTTATTTGTTTACATGACCAATGTTTTGTGTGTGTGTTTTTTTAGTGGCCTTATATTTCGTCAGCCTCTCGAGGAGGAGGCTACCCGGCTAGGCTCGGAGAGCATGACCAATGTTGAATTGATGTCGGATTGCAATCCTTCCGATTGTTTGCACTCATAGCTTGTCGTCATGCGGGGTCTTGTAAAAGTTCGATACTGCTTATCAATGATGAAAGCAAACTGTTGATCACATGCTACGGTGCTTGTAAATTCCGATCGACGTGGAACTGCTTATGACTGCTGTTCCTGTGGTGCCCCTATCACGTCATCTATGATTCATCAACCACAACAGTGTGTGAATGATTCAGACTAACCGATAGTTCCCCAGCTTCGCACACAGTAACCACCGTACTTCCCGCATCCCCGGGATCGCCAGTGCCCTGCCGGCTGTCAGTGTCCAGTGTCTCACTCCTGATCGACTGCCGGTGTTCGCAGGCTCGACGTTCCCCAAGGCGAAGCCGCAGCAGGGCATGTGGTTGGTGGTGCGACAGGGGCTGCTGCGCGCCGCGCTGCTGCCGCTCTACAGACGCTGGTGGCAGCGGCACGTCGGAGACCGCCTGTTCGTGGCCCTGCTGGCCGCCTACCTGGTCTACGTCGGCATAGCGGTGCTGCACTGCACCGCGGACGCCGCGGGGGCCACCGTGCAGGTATGTTAGGGCTGACGGAGGCAGGGCCGTGTGGGTATTTATACGGACGGCGGCGCCACGCTTCGCTTTGTATCGTGGAACATGATATAACTAGACGACGGTCACGCAGTTAATGGTGATGCTTTGACGCCATCGTCGGTTTCCATTTGAGAACGAACTGAGTGGATCACGCTTTCTGGTAACTTCCCGTTCTCACATTGCCTCACTTCTTTTGGCGATTATTAGTTGTCAGTAACCTTGCCACTACAAGGTTACTGACAACTAATAATACAACCCTTTGCCAGTAGTAATCTTGCCGAGCCTCTCATCATTCCCTGGTGTTTTACATTGCCCTTTGTCTGCTCCCGTGTCTGACCGATCTCTGTGCTGACCTGCCGACAGATCACCGCCCCGGAATTGCTGACTCCTCTGCTAGTGGCGCTGGCTCTCAGCATCCTCAAGTCGCAAATCGTCGCCTGCAACGAGTCTTACATGTCTTCCGGCGGCGCGCGCATGAAGGCCTCCTCCGTGCGGCTGAAGCGGCGACACCCGCCTCAGAGCTCCAGCTCCTGTGAGTTCAGTTGATTTCGTGAAACATGGTATTACGGTTGCTAGTCTAGCACTATATTTCAGGCTGGGGAAGTGGTGGCTGGGGGATATAGAAAGCCGACATAAGTATGGGCTTCTTATTGTTGTTATTGCTGTGCTTAGCTGATGTTTTTTTTGTAAGTGTATCGTATCAGTCTCTTCGTGGTTATCTACGGTGATAGCAGTGGTGATAGCAGTAGCTTGCGATCAGCGAACATACTTGTTTCTGCCACAGTACTGAATAATGTAGTTTATAATGTCTTGCAGTTATTTGTTCGACATCACTAAATGAGTAACATTGAGTGCCTTCGTTTTGCAGTGATCAGTAACGGCACCAGCGAGCAGGGCCTCTCCGGGTCCATGACGGTGCCCTCCAGCACCGAGCAGAGCGTGCTGACCGGTACCGCCAGTGAGCCGTTCATACTGGAGCCGACCGTGGCGCCGCCGGTCCCGGAGCCAGGCAGGGTGGACAGTCTGGGACCGTTCCCCTCCCGCAGCGCCGAGACCGCACCGCCGCGCCGGCCGCCGCCCCAGACCCGGTCGGCCTCTCACGAGCTGGTGTCGCGCCGCCGGCCGCCGCCGCCACCGCGCTCTCTGTCGGCCGACAGCCCGCCGTCGGCCAAATTCCCCTCTCCGCTGCCACCGTCGGGTACAGTGGGTGGCCCCGAGCTGCGGCGGCGCGGCAGCCGGCAGCGCGCCGGCCGGCCCAAGCTGGTGCGGATCGCCGACCTGCCGGAGACGGTGGACAACTACCACACCGACTCGACTGATACTGAGGGCAAGTCGGACGGCGACGAGCTGCTGGCCGAGCTCAGTCCCAGCTCGTCGACGTCGGCGCTGTCCAAGGGAGTGCGGCAGTCGGCCGGCGGGACGGCGACCGGCGGCCCCGGCGGCAGGACGCTGCTCCGACCCGAGTTCCGGTCAGTGTGCCGGCCACCGCCCGGTATAAGGGGACTCCGGCGGGCTAGAGGGACGGGATAGCCATTGGCTGGAAATATAAGTGCGTTAATGTAGTTTTTGATTGTATTGACTGACTTTCGGCACCGACAGAAGTCCCGTGTCGGATTGTTGGCTAATTACTGAGTGCCGCCTCTGACTCTTACAGGAGTCCGGTGTCGGGCATCGCTACTAATCAATGCTGACTGACTACTGAGTATTGAGTACTGGCTCTGACGTTTGCAGGAGTCCGGTGTCGGACAGCTCGGCGGCCGAGATCAGCTGCTCGGAGCGGCGTGACTCGGACGACTGTAACTCCTCGCGCCGCTCCTTTGTCAAGGTGAGCCGACTGCGTGCCCTTCCCCGAACCGGGCCAGCTAACCGGGCTCACGGACCGTCTCCGAGCGCTCTGCCACGCGTCTGCGCTGCGCCGGGTGCCTCTCCTGTGACTAATGTCTGATGGGGTGTGAGTGACCACTGCTCGCTTGCATCTTACAGAATGTAAAGGACAGGCCCCTTTTTATTGGCAGTTTTGGATGTTTTTGAGAGTAACGATTGATAATGTTGATGGTGTGTACATGCTAGCTTTTACGGACCAAATGTGAAACACAGGACCGGTTTTGCACCACGAGTACGCTAGTGACTGCTGTGTTTGTCCCGGTGAGCTCACGCACCTCAGTAGCCTGCCTCCACCCGTACCTACCGTGTCACTGTGTGATGACCTGCACAGTGACACATTGACTTTACCCGCCGTCCCCGCGTCCCACCGTCGGGCGGTCCCGTCGGGCGCACACCCGTCCCCCGCCGCTCGGCTCGGCAGCAGCGGCGGCCCGTCTAACCCGGCCCGCTGGCGACACTGTTCGGCAGGCGGCCGTCCAGCAGCGCCGTATGGCGATGGGCAGGCGGCGCTGGCGGCGCTGGACCCCGCCCGCCTCCTCGGCCGAGAGCCACGCCCACTTGGACGCCGCCAGCCAGCAGGTACCGCCCACTCCCCCCCCCGCTGTGTCTCTCAGCTCCTTCCCTCTCTCTGGCGGCAGTGCTGGCTGCTGCTGATTGGCTACGGCTACTCGGGAACTGCTTCTGTGCTGCGCTGCTCATAAGCGTAGGAACCATGGGTGCAAGGGTGCAGCTGCACCCACAATATTTCTCCAGTGGGTGCAGACAATGTATTCTGCACCCACAATAATCTGAACCAAAAACCCCTTTTCTCATCAACACTACTTTCCATGCAGCACGGCAAATTCAGGATACGTTGCCCACTAATCACTATCCATCTTTCGAAGCATTTGCTTTTGTGATGGTCTTCAAAACTTACATTTGTGCTGAAGAAAAAAAGGAAATGGAGCATGTGATTGAACACATACCGAGCCGATGACCCACTGTCAAAATTTTTAGCCCGATATCTTCGAAAATGGCTAAGTTGGCCGCTCTTACTTTTTGCGGTACCTAGTCAATATTGACAATATTAACCCTCGAATGTGTGCGGCGTTTTCCAGCTTCTAATGTGTAGGGGGAGGGGGGGGGGTGATAGAGCTAGAGCTTCGCGGAAAAAAACGAGGGTGTTGCGCGTGACGAGAGGAAGCCGATGATACCCAATTTTAAGGTCCTAGGTCATTGGTTGACCTTCGAGGTCAGGTCAATGTTCCAAAAGTCGGGAAAATCGGGACCTGCCTAGAATTGCGTAAAGTGAAGCTGTTATCGGGGTTTTCGGGGTACTGATCACGAATATCATGTTAGTTTTGATCACAGATGATTTCTTCATGCATTTAGGCCAGATCGGGTCAGGTCAGGTCCGGTCAACCATTAGGCCTCCTACCGGCTATCCATAGCAGGTGTCAACTACCACTGACGGCCTCGTAGCATGTTACGAAGGCACTAAAACTACTTCGTAAACGTTCAAATGGATGCTAAATTCGAAATCAGCCCGAAAAACTACCCTAGACACATGTAATACTCGAAAAAGTGAACCGAGGTCATCAAAGGTCAATGACCTGACCTGACCTTCAGGTGACCTTCACACCCACCGTGATGCATGGGACGAACATCATTTCACATGTTTGGACGTCTACAATCACAAAAAGACTGGAAACGCGCGGATAATGTGAGCTGACATACGCCAAATCGCGATTCCGGCCGAATATGGTCTCGAGAATCAGGTCACAGGTCAAAGGTCTTTTGGGTCAGTGTCATGAAATTTTCAGAGTAGGTGTAAAACTGATCAAATCGAGGGTACTTTAAGTTTCGTCGCGATCGGCCGCTTTTTGCGCGAGTTATTTGCGAAAAACCATGGGGGGGCTCATCCGAACCCCCTACACATGCGAGGGGATTAATGCTTCCAAATGCACTTATCGGTCGGTACCTTTTCGACATGGTATACATACACCCCCCTCAAAGCTCGTAACGAGCCTTCGCTCGGGTGTCGCTCCCAACCCCCCCCCCCCCCCCCCCCCCGCTTCACCGGCCATGGCTGGATTTCTGCACCCATGCACCCACAATGTTCCAGCCGTTCCTACGCCCATGGCGCTGCTGACCAATGCTTGAGCGGCGATGGAGCTTTGGCTGAGCTGCTTCTATCTATCTCTTTTTGACAGCTCTTAGGTTATAGTTGTTCTTGCTGTTGCATACGTTATTTGCCAGTTAATTTATTGAAGCAATTATCCTTATCAGCTATGCTAACTTCTTTCATGCTCTCCTTTCCTCAAGCCTTTTACGCAGTCGCTAATGACAGCCGCGCACCATGTGGCATGTCTTTGCAGTATGAATGGCGGTTCCATGAAGTAACTCCTCTCCACAGCAGCCTGTCCTTGTATCTCCCTTCGCACCCATGCTTTTCAGCCTCGTCTTATGCATTTTTCCTTTCATGTTTTGATGTATTCAAATGTTTTCCCTTAAATTCGAACAAAAGTTAAAGATGATCGCCATTCACCATTCACTCTTGGTTTTGCACTAACATGGGCATTCCATCCACATGCTGTCTTGATCTACTTGCTGAATTTATACGGTCTATATTCACGCTATATTTGGTCTTCTTTGTAACTGCCTTTCTAGTGTCACAATGTCTGCTTTCGCTTTATCTATCTTTGAGTCATTTTGGTCGGCATTGCAGCTGCAAACCATTGATGTGGGCTGGTGACCATATGTCATATCTTGCTGTGTATTATGAATGGCTCTTTGCCCTTGCCTGATGGTGTTGTCCATGTCTGTCGAGTGTCGGTATCAGCTGCCGGTGTCTATGTTGAACAGTACCCTGTCCTTTGTCTGTCCGTGTCTGACGGTGTGTAGTGTGTACGCTGGCCGTGTCTGATGATTAAACTGTTGTCCGTATTTTACCTTCAGAGTTGATTGCGGTAAGTTGTCCGTGTCGGTGCGTATCTGACGTACTTCATCGTGTCTGTGTCTGACGAGTGACAATACGTTGTCCCTGTCTCACAGTTCGTTGTCCGTGTTTGACTGTACGTTGTCCTTATTTGTCCGTGTGTGTCAGTACGTTATCCCTGTCTGACTCTACGCCGTCCGCGTCTGTCCGTGTCTGCCGGTACGATGTCTCTGTCTGACGATACGCTGTCCGTGTCTGACTATACGCTGTCCGTGTTTGTCCGGCGTAGACGTCGGGCTCGGACTCTGACGCGTCGTACAGCTCGGGCGAGTCGGCCACGTCTGGTCACCGAGACGCCAGCAGCGGCTGGGACAACCCACTGCAGACGGCCAGCAACGCCGACCACAGTCAGTCGCCGCTGCCGCCGCACGGCGGGCTGGGCCGTAGTGTTGTCCGTTCAAACTATATTCATTATTCATAGACTTTTGTGTGCCTGGACTGAGCACAGGACATCTCGATATAAGCACGCTGACCAGAGCTGAAGCTCTGAACAGAGGACGTATGCAGAGGTCTACGGATAATTGTGATTTGTCACAAGCATGGGACATGCTTGGCAGCTGTTGGCAGTCGCAGTTTTTTTTTTTGCATCCCCTGAGGGAACAATATCCAGCATAACCGAATATCTTATTTGCGTCGGCTCCGGTCTACTGTCCTGTCTTACGCTGCGTCTCCGCCCGACAGCCGGCTGCACCATCTGGGAGGGCTGCGACATGAAGAAGGTCGACCTCACCACGCTCGACATCTGCTCCGTCATCGTCAACCGGGTCGAGTCGATGCCGCAGTCCACCGACTATCTCGTCTTCGGTACGTATTCGTTCTGTTCTCGTCTTCGTCTTTGCTCTGTTGGTCTGGAGAAGTGACAACAGTCGGTATTTCCCATCAGAGTTCTTGATAGTTTTTCTATCGCAGCTAGTTGTGACAGGTTTTAAGGACGGGGTTCCGCTTTTTGCTAGGTTTAGGCGTGTTTCATTAATTGAAAGTAAGGTTTCATTAATCAAATAACGCTCGACCAGACACAGCTACTGCTTTGCCCGCATTATTTACACGCCGTCTGTGAATAAACATGTAGTCCTGCAGGGATACTCAGTTACTGACTCCCACCGTTGCCCGCCCAGGTCTAGTGATGTCTGGTCTGATCGCGCTGCTGCCCACCCTCTGCCGGCTGATGATGGGCGGCGCTGTGCTTACCGGGCCCTGCTGGCCGCCGGCGCCCTCCGTACCCGCTCTGGTGAACGCCACCGCCCAGCTGACCCGGCACGTCATCAAGGTCACCGACGAGGCGTTCGGCGGCACGGCCAGGTGGGTGTCGGCGGGGGGGATGGGGATGTCGTGACTCCTGGGCATGGCCGAGTGGGTGGTGCTCTGAGCCGGTAAAAGGCGGGATAGACTGGTGGGATCTGAGAAGGTCGTGAGTTGGACTAGAGGGAGCTAATTGCTCATTCCAACTATTCTACTTCTACATAGCAAATGTGTAAGTGAGGGACAGACGTCAGGAGCGTAAGGCGTGACCAAGGCCCTAAAACATAGGCGTGATTATGACCCTCGGCCCGGCTCTGAAGGATATAGAGGAATCAAGCGTTGTCGCGCACTACCCTGCAGCTCTATCCCGTCCTGTAGCCGTGTTCCGTATACGGTTTCAGGGAGCGCGCAGTGACGACGGGCTGCCTGCTGGTGACACTGCTCGTCACCAGTCTGCTGTTCTTCCTTCTGAGCGTGGTGGAGCGCTCCTTCAAACAGCGCCTCCTGTACGCCAAGTACTTCTGCTACCTGACCTCGGCCCGGCGTGCCAGGTCAGTCAGCTTGTAGACTCGCTCCTACAATGGATTTGTTCCGAGATTGCTCTTGTACAGAATGCTGTGATTGTTGGAATCAGTTTTACATATGTTGAAGTTGGTACATATGTTGGCAGTTGGTAGTCAGTTTTTTTTTTTTTAAATCTCCTGTGGGCAGAATATTGTATGTGGCAGGTCTGTTATTGGTCTTGTGTGTTCGCTATGTTCGCTGGGAAGCTGGCTCAGCCTCGCTTTGTCCAACAGGAAGTTTGAGCTGCCCCATTTTCGTCTGAAGAAGGTGCGCAATATCAAGACGTGGCTCTCCGTACGCTCGTGTCTGAAGGTCAGTGGTGAAGGCGGGAGATATTTGCTGCTTTCCACACCACACTATTTTGAGAAATTCTATGGTTGGTTGAATGGTTCAGCCTACAGGTCTGTCTAACTAGCGGGTCCCGAGATTGAAACACCATCTCCGTTGATGCCTTTTCACGAGCATGACGTATCTTCCTTGATGTACTCCTTTTAGCTATTAGTTTAGTTTTACAGGCCATGCAAGTTCATCATTCTTGCGTCGCTTTGGACAGTCTTTGCTTCCGTGGCTTACACGTCCTCACGTCGTTTGATCGTCTAACACCGCCTTATGAAACCCTTACCCGTGTCACTACTGCCCACAGAAGCGCGGCCCGCAGCGCTCCATCGACTCGATCGTGTCGGCGGCCTGTCTGACCACTGTCGTACTGGTCACGCTGCTCTGTGTCGAGCTGCTGGAGAACAGCGATTCACCACGCATCGACTACTACCGCATTCAGCTCGTCGTGTGGTGAGGCGGGCAGACAGACAATCTGGCGAGGCAGGGGAGCCCGACACGGTGGTCCGTCAGTCTCAGCTGTGATAACTATTGTTAGGCAATACTCTCGCTAGTTAATTTTCGAGATACTGTTTTTGTTACATGTGCAAGTTTCAGCGAGGCGTATGTTCGAAATTATTCATAGATGAATAAAAACGGGTCGGCATATGTAGGTCCGTGTAAGCGTCATGGGTAGGATACCCGCCATTTATCGTGATGTTCTGCGTAATGACTGTGTGATAATATGGCTTGGGATATTTTTTTCGTTCAGTTTCATAAGGCGGTGCCTTTATTTAATTGCTTCACCATCGATGATGTGTCATAGGTGTCCGCAGTCACATCGATGATGTGTCAGACTGCCGGCTGAGTGAGTTTCTCTCCGTTCCACAGGTGCTTCTCGCTGGGCGTATACCTGGTGAGAGTCATGTCCCTGGGCTCGTACATCAACCGCAAGTACCGCAACCTCTCGGTGGTGCTCACCGAACAGATCAACCTGTATCTGCAGATCGAGCAGAAGCCGCACAAAAAGGAGCGGCTCGTGCTCGCCAACAACGTGCTCAAGCTGGCCAGCGACCTCCTCAAGGTGCGTCATTAGGGGGAGTTATACATGGGGCGCTTAGACCAGGCAGTAACTGCGGCCGGGCCGTTTAGGGTTTGTTAGGGAAAATATTCAATAACAAATTCAGTAGAAAATATTCAGTAAACTTAATGGGATGCGTTATCGGAAACACTTTGACGTAAGATAAGAGACATTGAGGTGAAAATGCTATAACTAAATCGCAGAATACTAGCGTCATAAAATGTTGAAATCTCAGCCATCCAGTGACCCTCTGTGGTTCTTCTGATCGCCAGGAGCTGGAGAACCCGTTCACAGTGCTGGGCTTCTCTGCCAACCCGTTCCTGTACAACGCCACCAAGGTGATCGTGCTGTCCGCCTGCAGCGGCGTGCTCTCAGACATGCTTGGCTTCAAGCTGAAGCTCTACAAGATCAAACTCAAGTGAGCCTCCCGCCTCAGCAGCAGGCGAGAGCGACGGGCGTGATGTCACCCGAGTTTTTGTGACATTTCAGGTGGGAGATGAAGCTGTGCGTAACACTCGTGGTATCCATCGGGTGTTCTTTCGTAGTGTGTTGAGGGGAGAGTCACTGAAGGCGTCTTTCGGCGGGCGTTGTGTTGGGAGGGCACTCACTGAGCTAAGAACGGTTCTCTGCGGTTGCCATCTGCTGAGACCTGGTAACTAAGTTAGCAGTAGCTCCGCTGAGGAACGCATGTCATGTCTCGGCTGAGGCGCAGGTTTGTCAGAGAACGTTTGAACTAGCTGGTGCTACGGTAGGTTGACGGTGCGTATTGCACGTCATGTCCGGGGTTGAACGTCTTGCAACGATTTTGGGCTGTATGGGGCGAAACAACTTCGTGTAACTGAGGGCATCGATGCAGCAATGATGGCACTACATCCTTTACATCCTTTGGTTGTAACATCCACCAGGATTAGCCACTACATGGACTTATTTTAGCTGATACCATGCGGGTATTTGTATAACAGGACAGTATACCTTTAAGGACAGTAAATAGCTAGGTGTTACTTCATATATGTATTATGTCGCGACAACCTGTAGGGGAAAACGCTATTCACCGGGGGAACATAAGCATAGCGTTAGGTTCATATATCAAAGTGTTTTATAAGTCTACCGGGTTAACTGTTAGTTTGCGGCGCACTTAGTGCACTTATTGCATACTTTGCCGCTGATCTGCCTCACCCATGACACCAGCTTGGGGGAAATGTTTAGGTTTATTTGCTGTCGCAAATCGCAATGCGCTACGCTTATCGTCTCGTTGAGATTAGTACCTTGGTTATCTCGTCTCGATTCACAGTATTTACCGCCACATTTTGGCTTCACCAGTCTATCTCAACTTCTTGTGAGCCAGTCACTCATACTGTTATTTTGATATTCTCGTTTAGTTTTGTGTTGCCGCGCACTGTGCTGCGTCACAACAGCGGTTGCGCGTGCAATGTATATCACCGCTGGTGATACTGAAGAGCTGTTTATCGAAGTCGCAGGTCGTGCCAGCGCTGCGAGTAAACGCTTAATACTCGTGTGATACAAATCGCCCGTGTGCAATATTCAGCCGGTGCTGTAGTGTGGCGAAGGGTTGTCTGTCGTCCTGCGAGTCAGGAGCTGTGAGACAGTACAGAAACCCACGCTGAATAAAATCCCGTTTTGACGTCCCTGTTGTTACCATTCTAGAGGGAACGCTGTTACAATGGCTTTCATTATGAAGTGAGGAAAGTAATTAATGAAATGATATTTTGGATTAGTAAAATAATTTGCTGGAAAATACATATCGTCTAGTTGCCACGTTTGCAATGCCCTTGCTTCTTTCTATAATGCACACTGAAACCAGGACTCCTCACCTTAAGGCTTTGAAATGGTTTTATGTGCGTGTTTATTTCGCGGGACAGACAAACGCCGTTCTGGACAGTCGAGCTCACGTATCGCATGGGCCAGGCTCATGGGTACCGGGGTCCGCACCGGACCGGGAGCGAGCGACCGAGAGCGGCAGTGTGCCAGCGTGAAGGCACATACACTCTGTCCGTACTAGAGAGGCGACGAAACGGCGCGTCCTCACTCCTCGCACGACAGACCTACGTACAGCGATACAAACAAGCGATGTGCTAAAAATAGCTGCCGGTAGTACATTTTAATCACAATGCTTGTATGGTACACATTTACAGGGGTGAACCTTTCACAGACACATCTCAGAAGAAAGTCTTCGAAGAGCGAAGACGCCCACGACTCTACCAACCCAACTGTGGCTTAGCTTGCAATTTGTTCGTAAAAAATATTCAAGGTTGGAAGATCTGTGAAGGTACCATGCTTATAAACTAGTATAAACTAACTATCCTATGCTAGCGATACATAATGCGAAACAAAGCGACACAGACAGCCTTTCGATGGAATGACGCCAATAACTGAAAGCCTCCGCAAAAAGCTGAGTGTGATGTGCAAATGCCGAAGCGTGTGTGCTCGCGTGAACGTCGGGGACTGCCACGTCTCAGCAAAAAAAAAAAAAAAACTTACAAATACCGGGTACAAATTGCTTCAACCAGCTTAGATCTGCTCAGATCCACGCTAACAAGTCGATAGTCACAATCGAGCGGACGGAATGTGTTATAGCACATGAACGCACCAACTATGGGCGCGCATCGGCGGCCGCCGACGCGCACACCATCTACCGACGGCCGACCGAACCGCGCCGCCTCAGTAGCGGGCGCCGTTGCTCGGGTCGTGAACGAACACCTCGTTATCGTTCTCGACGCGCTGGTAGGGCGCCGGCGAGGGGGCGACCACGGACGGGGCGACGGAGGGCACCGAGGGTGGGTAGCCGCCGTACTGGTAGCCGGGCTCGCTGCCGTACTCGTTGCCGTACTCGTAGAGACCGTGGCGGCTGAGCCGGTCCAGGTGGTAGTCGGTAGGCATCAGCTGCTTCACCTGGTACAGGTGCTGCGAGACACGGAACGGGAGGTCAGCTGTCAGCGCCGCACTCGGGCCGGGGGGTAAATACGGGGAGAGGCAGGCCGGGAGCTTGGTAGTACAGCGCGACGCCATAACGCACATTTTAAATAGCCATGGTGCGTTCAGTCGCTTGTAACAGAAACAAAAAGTAAACACACTCTTTACTTTGCACACTGTCGACTAAATTCGGGCATATCTATTTAAGCTCGAGGCAGAAATGAGCCAAACATAAGAGAACTAACCAATTTTTTGGCCATATTATCGCGGCGCAAACATTGATGAAGATCATTAGACAATCCAGAGCGCACAACAGCGTTTAGGGATAATGGACATTATCGATGGCCAAAAACGTACAAGACTGCATGCCTGGATATCAGCAGAAAGTAATGAATACGTGAAACGAGGCATGAAAATGATCTGGATCAGTGAGGGACGTCGTAGGTATGAAGTGGTGAGTAACAATAAGTATTTTTGCTACTGTTAGGCTGGCGAGGAAGGTAAGACGTGAATGGTTACTTAAAGATGTTATGGTGGTGTGCAACAGGCAGACACTCTTTTTTGATTTTGCGGATATTTATAAGCCCATAAAATAGAGGCGATGCACGGTAGATGTCAAAAAAGCCGATGAAAACATCAACATCTCATAGATTAGTGGAGGAGGATCATTAATACCGTCAGCCGATTAGTTTGCTTTTTACAATATCTACATGCCAGATGACGCAACCAATTGGCAAAAAGAAGGATAGAATAAGGAACTCCGATATCAAGAATTTTCGGGTTATAGTCCAGCCAGAAAGTTACGTAAATATTATCCAAAGAAAACCAGGAAAAGGCAAAGCTATTTTAGGAATCATGAACATGATGATCAGATGGTATAACATACGAGTATGCATCTGGTCCTGGTGCGAAATGTTCAAAGGGGCAATAATATGAGCACTATTCTATGTACACATGAGAAACGAACATGTATTACGGCTAGTGATCAAGAAGCAAAACTCGTAAATCATATTTTATCATTATAATTGGCCTAAAAGAAAAGACAAAAAGAAAAAGAGCAGTTATTTGTACGAAAAAGTAAAAAAAAATCCAGGCATAAATAAGTCTCACTAGATACAAAACCGAACCATTAAGCGAGAGTAGTCAGTCAGGGACAGCAGCTAAGACCAATAGAAAAAGAAAGAGGGAGACGGCAGATTGACAGAGACAGACTGAGACGCACAGACAGAGGCGGGCGGGGCGGGTGAGCGGCTGGTCGGCCGGCGGGTGCGGTCTGCATACATGGCCCTCGCCGGCGGCCCGGGGCCCGGGACCGGCTCAGATGTACGCCGAACCGTGGTGCGACTCGGCCGGCTGCATGTGCATCAGAATGTTGCTCTGTTCCAACTGGCGGCGCCGGATGGCATTCATCTCCTAGAACACGACACAGCCAGCGAGCTGGGCATGAGCGGACCGGCAGCTGCACGCTGGTTGGTCGGCCGCGAGCACGGCGACCAATCAGTGAACGCCTCCGGCCACCGGGAGTCTGATTGGCCGCCCGCCGGCGACCGAACTGAGGTCAACCAATCAGCGACCGTCTTGCGCAGAGCCAGCGACGCTGATTGGTCGATAACACCCAGCTCAGCCGACGTCGACCAATCAAACGCCGCCGCCGAGAAGCGATCGTGGGACGTCACATGACCTGTTTGCCGTCACCGAAAACCACTACAAAGCCCTGCAATGTTTGCAATCGCAACAGCGCACCACGGCTCGTCTTCATGCCATAGCTGAGCCTCAGAATTTACAAAGCTTTGTACAGAGGAAGGAAGCACGTTTTCCAGCTTTTTACAAGCGCTTAGCAGTCAGCTAAGTCCGACGCGGCGAGTGCTGCTGCCAGATAGATTCAACGCGACCCATCACCAGCCGTGGGGATGGCCACCGACCAGCCGGCCCCACCAAGAGACGTTTAGTGCGGTCACGAAGGAAGGCGAGTGAGACAGGCAGAGGAGAGGCATGAGGAACCGCGGCGGAGACAGAGATAGGCACAGGCGTCGGGCAGTAAGGGGTGGATGCATAAAAATGAGTGATGCAGAGATCCAGACCAAAAACCGCGAACAGGTCAGCTGCGCCGCTGTTTTGAGCGGTCTTCGAGCTACGCTGCAGAGAGAAAAGAAACACACAGAGTCGCCTGAAGCCGGCTGAAAGTCCGTCTCACGGGTGTCAGACCACAGAGTGAAGCCATGCTGCGGAGAGGAGGAGCCAGTGGCCGGCCTCCGGAGCGACGGCCGCTCGAGGCCAGCGGGTCCCTCCCGACGCCGGACCGAGAGCCGGAGAGCCAGGCCGGAGGAGACAAAACTGATACGGGCGTGCGAGCTACCACATGCTGATGTGACACAGGGTGCTGAATACTCGCCCAGAACACAAGCACAAAACAACCAGTGGGGGGTACGGTGATGATACGCAATACGCATGCCGCTAACACATAATATGACGGTGACGGGAGACTAGGGCGGACTGCAGCCCGGGAAACACACATTTACTATTCACAAAACTGAACAGAAAAACAACGCTACCCAAAACACAATGCATGTGTAAAAGACAGCGATAGGTGCCATGCAAACAAACATTGAAAGCACACAGCACACAGCAAACACATGCACAACTCACGATGAAATAGATGGACACGACAATGTGAGACAAAACAACAAAGCCTGGCATAAAACTTAAAACACAACAGATATTTACAGTCAAATTCGTTCCACCTGCCTTACTTTTTTGGTGAATGTAATGCCTGAAAAGAATGCAAATTAATGCCAGTTTTAGCCCAAAGAGTGCTGACACACTAGGGACATGACAGGAAAATTGAGCGACATTCAAGTGAATTGAAACCGACAAAAAATAATCCGAATGTATCTAAAAAAAAACAAAAAAAAGACGTGCTGCAAAACCGTAGAACAGGAAAACAATGTGTGCTGCCACAGCAGTGCCCCAGAATAACAACGAACAAGTGCTGACAGATATGGGACGTCCCCTGCCCACCAGGCCACTCACCATGCCATAGAGGATGGCGGCGAACGCGTGGAACATGCAAGAGAAGGCGGCCATGTAGTACGACCACGAGAGGAAGTTGTAGTTGGGGTACATGAGCCAGTCGCGGTCCCAGCACTTGCCGCCGAAAATGGCCAGCGCCAGAAACAGCGTCGCCACTGCGGCAGAGAGGAACAGAGACGGGGTCAGCGGGTGGAGACGTGCGGAGACATGAGTCGCCACTGTGGTGGAGAGAGGGCAGGGGCAGGGTCAGCACTGGCGCAGAGAAGAACAAAGCCATATTTAGGGGAAGCAATGCACTTCACGGTACCTTCACTCAACGTCCTCAAACAAACAAACAAACAAGAAAAATAAGCGACGTCGCTCGTCTAAAATCTAAATAGCTAGGCGTCAAATACGTCATCGCAATAGCCATTCAGTTTCACTCTCACTTAGAAGAGATGACCGATCTGTATACCAAAACTAACACATTACTCGGTCCCGTCCCTACCAAGTGATTCAGCTGGCCCTGCCCCCTCCCTCCCACCCCACACCCAAAACCTCTCCATCGCGGACCGTACCGGTAACGAGCTTCATGGTGAGCGCTGTGACGGTCATCTCCAGCTGGAAGCGGCGCCACAGGAAGAGCGGCAGCTTCATCAGCATCATGGCCACCACCACCTGGCCGCCGAAGCTGGCCACGAAGGCC